TACCCACCCATCCCACCCCAGGGGAGGACATCCATCACACAGTAATCTCGTGCGTGGGAAATTAACATCTCCTGCCCCTAACCCTGTAGGAGACGGGACCTCCATTTATTCGTCCCTATCCGAGAAGACTAGAATATCTAACCATCTCTTGATGTTATAGAAAGGTAGCCTATTCTTCTAAATTATTTTAAGACCCTGACTATTGGTCTGGCCGGGGCTCAAACCCTCAACCTCCCCCACAACAGTCCAGTGCTCTATCCATTGAGCTAACTGGGAGGCAGTATATTTATTTCAGAAACATCCAAGTCTACAGGTGCATTAATACACCACCAAAAGGTTTTCATCTGGCAACATTTACCTTTAAGTGAAAAGTTTACATTTGTGTTTGTTTTGTTGTGTAAGTAACCTTAATGTCAGTTAACAGTTCAATAAATTAATCATTTAAGTGTATAATTACATTGTCCAGGTCAAAATAACAATGAAAACTAAACAAACAAAATAAAATTTGAGAAAAGCATAGTTGTCAGTGATGTTGACTGATATTTTGATAATCTGAACTAAAGGTCTTCATCAAAGTTATGGGTCTGGTTGCCAATCAATCAAATAAATAATTACACATCCACTTCATAAAAGCTGATTGGTCAGTTACATAATATGTCTTTCAGTAAGACCCAAATAACAGTCAGCAGTTGTAAATGTTCACTTTTGAACCACTGGTACAGACAAGTCTCTCTGTTCCATGCAAATGAGTAATACACAGTGCTGGTAAATGTATAATTGATATCTCTTTAGAGGAACAGTATACCAATGACAGTTCTTAGAAATAGTGCTCAAGGTTAGCCATCAGGTAAAGACGACGAGAACACCTGGTTTGTTTTTTTTTTTCACTTAGCCAATCAATATATTTTTATTACCAATTATTAGTGACAGCAGTCAAACATTTTGACCGTTCTTGAAAACGTCTTCAAAGAGAACGTCCTTTCGAATAAAGAGCAAAAAACGATCTGTTTATAATGTCTTGACAATTAACAACGACTGGGAAAACAAACGCGCGGAGACTTGAATTCTTATTGATACAAAATTAGATTTTTCGATCACGTGTGTCAAAATTCTATGAACTTCCCTTTCAAATTTTGACAATTAAACTGCACTAAATCTAAAGAAAAACTTCTTTTGTCGATACGTACCAGCCCTTCAACTTGGACACTATCAATTCGACTTGAAGACCCAGACAAACTTGAATTTGAAACGGAAGAGCTACCTCTTTCAGCCATGTTTGAGAAAATGGTGATGAAACGGTCGAGGAAACCTGGGTTAGAGGACTTATCATGCGTAATCGGTTACTTTCGTCTTCAACGACACTCGTTCGGCAAAATTATCGGCAATGACGTAATGGGAGCCGCCTCGCTCGGAGAACTTTTCTTTGTAATGTTGATCTTCAATCCACTGAATTCGGCAGAAAAAAAAGAGAGGAAACTTTCAATTTATATTGCTTTACACGGGGGCACTTGAAGCTTCTTTAAATTCATAACATTCACTTTAAAGTGAAGTTTTATTGAGAAAGGTCCACAGAAAAGTTAGTCGATGGCATGGGCTGTGTTTGCAGCAAAAGAAAAAGACAAGAAGCGAACGGAAACTTAAAGGCTTCTTCGAAAAAAGCGCAGAGTTTTGATAATGTAAATGCCGATCAAACTTTACCGGCTCTACCTGACCTGCCTGAAATCCCACGGCAGCAGGTCGAACCGAAACTCGTGTATGTGGCGCTTTACGACTATGAAGCACGCACATCAGAAGACCTTAGCTTCAAGAAAGGAGAGAAACTCGAAGTGATTAACGGCAATGATGCTGTCAACGGAGCGGATTGGTGGCAAGCACGTTCTCTGGTCACAAACATTGTTGGATATATTCCTAGCAACTATGTTGCTCCTGCGGCTTCTCTGAAAAGCGAAGAGTAAGTACCTTATACGTTGATTTACAGCTGCGGAAACGCACATTTTCACTCAAATAGCGGTCTGCAATTATTTAAATGATGGTTCCGATTCGGTCAACAAGAGATCTGACATTTTCATTTTAAGAAAAAAATTAATTGTAGACTTTCTTTTTACACACAACAATATATTCAATAAATTCGTGTGCCAAGAGGTAAGTCTATCTCGGAAGGATCAATTTCTTCAGAAACTCGACAAGAATTTGCACGTCGGACAGCGCTCTCTTTACTCGAATGTCGGACAGATTTGTTATTTCTAAGCCGTTGTGTCAACTTAAATCTTTAAAACTCAAATTGATGAGCATTATTTAGGACTTAGTCTGCCAAGTAGAGTCAGACGAAACTAGCACTGATTTGTTGACAGCGCCACTCTTTTAGAACTTCGAAAAGGAACGCAGTGGGTAATTTCATCGGAACGCACATCAACCGACCATTCCCAAACCACTTAATTCGTATTTGTTTTCTTTCTTAGAGCAAAGAGAGATTTAAGCCAGGGATACAGAGATACGGCACATCTTGAGTGTTTTTTTTTTTTCGAAAAAAAGAAGATAAATTTAAAACCACATCATCCAATTTTGCGTGACTTAGATAATATTCTAATTTAATTACACTGGTAAAACTCTAAATTTTTTAGTAAGCCAGAAAAAGGAATCATGAATCCTAACCAGTCCGGGCCACAGTTTCCGTTACTAAGTTGAAAAAAATAATAAAACGGTCGTTCATTATTTACCTCTAACACCATTGCTAGAATTCAATGGTCTCCAATTACCCAATATAATGGTTAAGTTCAATTTTGTATGAATGGGCTGTGATAAGATTTGTTTACTTAATAATAGACATAGTTTTGGGTAAACAAGATTATAGACACGCACTAAGCCTCTTGCTTAAAGAAAGAAATACGTGGATCCATAAATGCTCCATGAATGGCTGGTTATATCAGTGGAAGGTTAATAGACCTCTTGACAGCTATAGATTTTATCCTTGGGATTTTGTCTGCTATGCTTGAAAAATGTTCTGCTTGACTGCAAAGGTTGGATAACAAATTAACCTTTTGAAAATAAAGGACTGGAAACACCCTAGATATTTCCAGGCAGAGACAGTATTTTAATGGATTTTTTAAGTAAGAAAGGATGATTTTGTTTTGAATCATGAGCTCACTTCTCGCCAAGACAGGACTTTGACCTAGGCCTGAACAAAAAGGTCACTATTCCATCCATGCAAACAGAACGATGATTTGACACCAGGGCTACATGACAAATGTTTAATAGATTCATTATAGAATGACCTAAAAGTACAAGGTCATATTGCATGTCTATGAAAAGCTAACAATTTTTCTCCATCCAAAACACAATTTTAATAATAGTAAGTTTATGTCTAATTTGTAAATTTTTTTTCTTAGCTGGTTTTTTGGCCCAATCAAAAGAGTGGATGCAGAAAAAATGCTTTTAATGCATGGAGATAGTGGATCATTTTTGATTAGAGAGAGTGAAAGTAAACCAGGAGATTTCTCTCTTTCACTAAGAGATGGGGAAATTGTGAAACACTACCGCATCCGATCCATGGACAGTGGAGGGTACTATATTGCTCACAGAGCTAAGTTTCCAACACTCAGTGAGCTTGTTGAGCACTACCAAGAAAATTCTGATGGACTGGTCATCAAACTGGATAAACCTTGTCCCACATTACAGGCTCCTGCTCCTAAGGACCTTGCTTACAATACAAAAGACAAATGGGAAATTCCACGTGAATCAATTCGATTGGTTAATAAACTAGGCCAAGGGCAGTTTGGAGAGGTATGGATGGGACTGTGGAATAACACCACTCCTGTTGCCGTGAAAACATTACGTCCGGCAACAATGTCACCAAAGGCATTCCTTTCAGAGGCACAAATTATGAAGAGACTTCGCCATGATAACCTAGTACAACTTTATGCAGTGTGCACCCAGGAGGAACCAATTTATATAGTAACTGAGTTAATGGAGAATGGAAGCCTCTTGGACATCTTGAAAAGTTCTGCTGGACGGGAACTTCAACTTCCAGAGCTGATTTACATGGCTGCACAAATTGCTGCAGGAATGGCTTATTTAGAAATAAACAATTACATACATCGGGACTTAGCAGCTAGAAATATTCTAGTAGGAAAAAAGAATGTAGTTAAGATTTGTGACTTTGGGCTTTCAAGAATTATCGATGAGGGTGAATACAATGCAAGGGCTGGAGCCAAATTTCCCATCAAATGGACTGCTCCAGAGGCAGCATTGTTTAATAAATTCACAATCAAATCTGATGTTTGGGCTTTTGGAATTTTGTTAACAGAGCTGGTCACCTATGGACGTGTCCCCTACCCAGGGATGGGTAATGCTGAGGTATTAGCTCAGGTTGAAAGAGGTTATCGCATGCCTTGCCCATCAAACTGTCCACCAAGCCTGTACACAATTATGATGGATTGCTGGAAAGCAGATCCCATGTCAAGGCCAACATTTGAGACTCTTCAGTGGCGTTTAGAGGATTTCTTCGTCATGGACACTACAAATTATGCAGATTATCCTGAATAGCTTAAATACAGTTTAGAACACTTGTGTATTTTAAGATAGAGTTGTAAAGCACTAAGCAGCTTATGGGAGACATTGAATATATGATTCTGGCTAAAGGCCTGTAGCCAATAGTTAATTATAAATCAACTATTCCTAGCAAAGGAACATTCAGGAGAGGGAATTGTAAAACAGATTAGCAAGACATCTCATAAGGAAGGTTCCTGGCAGAAATGAATGATTCTCAACTTGAAGTTGATTGGGCAAATGAACTGCTACTGCATATTTTGGAGATCTGTCATTTGGAGTTTGAACTTATCACAATTTTCTAAAACAATGAGTTTGAATCTCCCTTAGTAGGAGGTGAATTCTTGAGGTATTCATCTTACTCTTTCAATTTAGGAAGATTGAGGTCAGACAAAATGCAGAAATTTTCATAAAGATCAATCTTCTCTACTTGCAGTCAAGACAATAATTTAAGTTCACTTGCTACACCACCTTGCTTTATGGTTTAGTAATGAGTTTTCATACTCAATTGCTGTAATTGTGCAAGGATGTACTGTTATATTCACATCATTCAATAACACTTTATAAGCATGTCCTTTTTAAAGGTCTCAATTTCCTTAGTGTCACAAAAAGAGCCATTTCACAACGAGTTTAAGGAAGATGTGAACTTCAGGATAACAGAACCACTATTCCTTTTACCTGCCTCTGCCCTTGTAGATAGGTAATGTTTCTTAAATTTACAGATAGTGTCAAATTCCACCCTATTGCCTGTGAGCAAATACCAAGGATTGGCAAGTAGTTTGCAAATTGTAGCAAGAAGCTTACAGCTGAATAATTTCATTTTTTTTCTTAAGTCATGGCATTCATTTGATGTTTCTTGCTGTAACAACCATGTGGAGATTTAGAAGGTCACCAAGGTGCTCACCCTCCTTATATCTGGTAGTTGGAGTTTTGGTCTTGTAACTTGAGATGTTTATGTGTTGTTGGTCAGGAGTAAGGTTGCTCTCTCACCAAAATATTACAACCCCCTATTTGCAATTTTCAGGATACTTTGGAAACAATTCTGCTCATTTATTAGTATTATCTGTTTTTGTACTTGTCATTAAAGAACAAGAAACTTTTCATTTATTGTAAGAGTAAGCAGAACAAAGATTTTACAATTAGAGAAAGGCATGTGCCACAACTGGAAAAAGATCAAATAACACAGCTTTCCCTAAAACCCCAGTGCATTAACTTTCAACAAATGCAGAATTCTCAAAACCCTTTTATTAAAGATTTAACTCTCAAGATGTAAGGTGCTATGTTTGCTTGTTTCTTTGTGAAAAAACTATGTGTAAATAGCAGCATTTTTTTAACTTTTGCTTTAATTTAGTTGATTTTTATTATAATACTCCTTGCCACATGAAGTATTAATGATTGTACTTTAGTGGCTTAGATTAATAAATATCTTAGAGTTGACTATTTGAAGAATTCTGGAATTGTAAGAAAGGATCATGTCTTGGGGTAGATTTCACACAGAATGCAAGTTTGTCTTTGTCCACCCCAGTGTTCACTTGGCCAGTGTTAATTTCATTGGAACTAAACATAACCAAGGAAACACTGACGAACTAAGGGGATCTCCTGGATATACTTGGAAAAATGTAATTAGAATATACAGTGATTTACTAAAAGCCAATTATCCACTGATTCCAAGGAAAAGAATGGAACCATCATCATAGCAATAGTCCTCTCCAATTGATCCACCATAGTAAACAATTGGTCTGTTTATAAGATGCACACTCTTGGAAGACTCCTAAAGCCATGCTAATACCACAAATTTGCATATCAAATCCCCACATTACTAGTTCCATGCTTTGCATATTCAAAGTTTAAAAAAAAGACGATAAACATTTGTCAAACTCAAAGAAAAACTGAGTCCTCTGTGAGGGTTTACAGATTTGGTGGGCAGGAACTTCTAGGTTAAGGTCTGAATCTTTTAGCGGAACTCAGATTTATAATTGTGTTAATCTCATTAAATTAATAACATCTGAATATGAGACTCACAAGTAATAAAACATACTTTATTGAAAATTTACCAATATCAAAGCTTTTACCAAAATCTATCAACTGCACCTCTGCCAAACAAACACATAACTGAATACATGGTACCTTACATATTAGTTTGTGCATATTTTTCTTTACTCCACAAAAACACAAAGTACAAAACCAACATGTATCCTACCAAGCCCTGTTCCAGATCTAGTAAATACACCACGAATTACAAATTATTATAAAAATTGAGAATAGCATTTTTCTTGCCACAAAATAAGTGGACAAACACACTCCAGCATTTTTTTGTAACAGCTGTGTCAAGAAAAAACTTGTGCCTTAAAGACCAGAGCTTACAAGCTTTACAAAACTACAAGAAATCATCCTACAGTTGCAACTAAAAAAGGCACCACCTTGCTTCTTTTGTCTTGACTAAAATATAACAAACTGCAAGATTTTCTGGACTTGCAAAAACGATTTCTTTACCTGATACGATACTTTACTAAAGCAACAATAGTACAAGCAGTTGCAGAGACTTTGTACCCATCTACATTGAGCATTTCCTCATGACAAAGACTACTTTCTGTTTTGCTGTTTATCTTGTACAAGAATTCAAAGAGGCTACACTGACATGAGATAGCTGCAGAAACTGCATTTCCAATGCAATCCTCATTAACTTTTAAAGTAGCTTAACTGGAAGCAAAACTTTCACAAACACTTCAAAAGTTGAAAACAAGAAAAGTAAAATAACATCAAACAAAATTTCTGTCTTATCAACAGGAGAGTTATACATGGTTTAGCCCTGCTTAGTGTACTGTAGCAAAAGAAATAAATGAAATCCCCAAAATGGATGTCTTTATCATAACAATGCTTGATTTACTTAGTAAAACACCAAAATGTTGCCCTCATTATAACATAGCATAAACTGGAAAATGTACATCAAAGCATGAGAAGTCAACTTCTCCTGATAACATAGCAAACAGCCATGGAAAATGAAAAAACTTGGCTTTTTGATGAAACAAAGAATTTCAAGATGAGATAAAAAGTTTCCAAGACTTCTTTTCTTTTACCTTCCAGATTCTGATAACCAACTTATAAAGAAATTAGATGAAGTAGGATGAGGTACTCTTCAAAAAACTTTTTCCTATTTTAGAGAACAATGAAAAAAACAAAAAAGTACCAAAAGCTTACACCAGCCTGAGCTGCTTCGCACAGAATTACTTGTGACACATCTACTACAAAACTAGTGAAAATATTCCTCAGCTTAAAAGAAGAGCTATTTGTAACACATCAATAACAGCAAAGGGAGAGAATGGGAAGAACTGAAACCTTAAATCATGGAAAGCTCATCATGATCACCAAGAGGAACTTTCTCTGAATCCTTGTAAAATTTCTTTCCTCTTCTTGAACGATCACTGAATATGACATCTGGAGAGTCTGCAACAAAACAAAGATCAGTTGCTTTTTGTTTTAAACAAAACTTTACTCGTATTTTAGCATGGTATAATAAATAATTAAAAACATTTACTCATGCATGTTAAATACTTTATAAAAAGTAAAGTGAAAAGGTATAAATCAAAGAAAATGTGGTTTTCATTCTCCTAAAATAATAGAATCCTTGATGATGTGTGTCCATTGCATACTATGCAGACAATTCAGATCAATTGGCAAGTTTTGCTGTGATGTCATGGGTTGTTAAACTCAAGTGGCATAATTTAGTGGTTATTCATAAATTTTAATCTGTCCATAGAATTGGGTTCTTCTCCTTGATTCTGTTACTATGTTTATGTGCATTTGACAAGAAATTTGTGAGGTGCTGGTAGTTTTTGACATCTTTGGAGACGAGTCTGAACCAGTAGAACATAACCTTGTTACCTGCTTGCATGTCCTCATGGTAAACTGTCATTTCATCCTCCTCATGCTCTTTCTCATGCAATTTGCTGAAATTCTTTTGGAGGTTCTTGTATTTCACAAAGAAGAACACCAAACCTGCTGCCAAAATTAACCCTGCATAGAAAAACCAAGAACATGTATAAGCCTATATATCAACAAACTATCGTAGGTTTTCCTTTGATCCTCCATCATCCTTTGATTTGTTTGTTTTTTTTTTTTTTAATTGAACAGCTATTGTCTTGGGTAAAGGACATGTACCAATGGAAGACATGTAACTGGAAAGGTGTGAACTTAGAGGGGATAATGACATCTGTAAGTTACAGTAACTGAAAAGAGGGAAATGCAATTAACTGCAAAATTATGAAACTACTTACTCAATGTCACAAAGGGAAATGTTGACTCAAAAATCATTAGATCAGTCTCAATTACAACACAGATAACTTCTGTTGATATGTCTACCCTTCTTAACAATGTCAGAATTCTTTTTGTTTAGATGGACTTAGATGGGTGCTTTGATCTGCATGGAAATGCAGAAAGATTGTTGCTATTTCCCGTGGGCAGACTGTGTCGTCTTCGACAGGACAGCTAAGAAATCAATAAGGTTTTAACATGCATAAACAGAATCAAGTAGAATGAGTGTGTTTAAAAAAATTGTGGATTTCTTTTACTAAATTCACCGTATCATTTATCATTGCAGCTGTTATATCTGTTGTGCCCCACTTTCACTGGTGAAAACCAAGGTAATTGTTTATTAGCAGAAGAATGCTGTTCTTACCTATTATAACGAGGGGAATCAAGACAGCCAGTGATGCTTTGCTTTGAGCAGCCTCAGGTTGGCCACCTTTACGAGCACTAACTGTTGGCTCTCCTCTTGATTGCGTTTTTCTCGCTTTACTCACAAGACTAAGGACAAAAACCAGTATTTTCAAATTACCAATAGAGGGGCTTGTTATTCATATAGCAGGCTTCCACTTCAACACCACAAATTGAAACTGAAACATACCTCAATGAACCTTTGACAACAATCCTCTCCTCAATCTTGAATCCTGTATTAATAGAATTCTTGGCAGTTTCTACTTGAACATCTACTTGCAGAGCAAAAAACAAAAAAATACAATATTATCTACATAGATTGCCATGACTCAAGTTAACAGAGTATAAAATAATATGCAATGCTCAATTAAGATCCTGTTTCTGGTTATTGCCCACTACATTCTGAGCAGACCAACAAATCTATAATCTACAATTCAGAGGACGATTTGAAAACATAACTGTGCATTACCAAAAACAATGAATTTTATTGTGGCATAAAGCCCACTCCCTTTAAATGATTTCTTACCAGACTCATTAATGGGTGGGATGAGATCAAAGTAAACTGCTGTTTCAGCTCCTCTTTCTGTGACAACAACATCAGCAATGCGATCACTAGAATAGAATATTTGCAAAGTGTCATCCTGTACTTTTAGTGTGCAGCCTTACGGAATGTTTGCAAAATGACTTGATAGTTAAGAAACCCATTACACATGACTGGGGTGTAACTGCCTTAAATGAGCACATATCAGACACATGCTCTGAAATTGTTTGCCCTTAAAATGTTTATAATTTGATATTGAGTTGCAGGCAGCTCATTTGTTCAAATAAAATGAAAAGAAAATAACAGACAAACAACTCTTGTGATTGATTAGCGACTAGTTGCCATGGGCAAGTCTGTTCTGGCATGGTTGGGCTTTTACACATTTTTGAATCTACAGTACCCAAGGCAACACAGACTCCTTGTTATAGTGCCCACGAGTCCATCTATATATGAACTTTCCCATCATTCATAATGGCCTTTCATATGCAAATGTTGTTACAGTAACTTCTTTGGTAAAATGGCTGAAAGCAAAATTCCAAGTTCTTGTTACGACCCAAAATTCACTCCTTACACCATCACTGAATCACTCCATAATTTCCACCCTTGTTAACTTTTAGGTAAGTCTGCTAGGGTAGAAGGCTTTTGCAAGGTCAGTTCCATAGTGGTCAAAATTTTAACAGTCTGCTAAAATTAACGACATGTATTTAAACAAAAGCTAAAATCCATGACCAGAAAATTTTACTGACGGACAAAAAATTGATTGAAATAAAGACTGTGGGGAAAATGCACATATGAGGAGCTCCGATAAATATACTTTTGAGGGTGAAAAGCTGTGTTACATATCAGTATTTATAAGTTGGCTTGTTTTTTAAACCTTGTTGATCCGGAATTTAAACAATTGATTGCAAAAAAAAAAACCACAATGTTGATGAACTGTATTCTTGAAAGATGAAAACTTCCCCTTTTTTCAAAAGCAGAAGGGGAAAGACAAATGCTGTGCTTTGGTAATAGGCTTCATGAAAGCCAATTTCTTCTTGGGAAAAGGTGATCTTCTGGATGAAAAGGGAACGAACAAATGCTTTTGAAGAATACTTAAAAAAATTAGGGAAAAATAGAAGACAAAGAAAGACAAACAAAAAACTTGCTACTGCCTGGAATTGATCCCTCAACCTTTTGCTTGCTAGGAGAAGCACAATCCACTGCGCGAAGTAAGCAAATTTACCTTAAAGTTTTCAACTTATATAGCTTTTGGGGAGTGTACCAAATGTTTCAAATTACAAAGTCAACTCAATGATCTCAGTATCTTGCCCCTTCATAATTCATTTTGTGAGTTCAATAGCCCTCAGCCACTTTGACTTTCACTTTTTTTTTCAAGCTCCACCTCATCAGGGAAGTGGTAGTATTGAAAATTATTAGTTATATCACAGCATTCATTTACCTATTTGCTTAGATCTATGCCTAGTTCTAGTAGCCTTGTTTTCTTTTTTTGCTTGTCATGGCCACACCACTGGTATCGTGAGTCACTACCCTTGATCACTTCCAGCTACATTGCCTTTAGCTCGGCAAAAATGAACCCTCTATGGGTTTAATGCCTGCATTCAAGGGGCCTTTTTCACTAAAAGCCACACTTAATAAAGCCCACATATAGAGTAATGAAATAATTTGGATAATCAACAAAGTTGAAATGGTAAATTGGCCACCGTAATGATTACAAAAGCTGACGTTTCAAGCGTTAGCCCTTCGTCAGAGCGAATAGAGGAATTGTGGGTTGTGTGTGCTTTTAAAGGCAGAAAATGGAGCTACTTTATTGGTGGGAACATGGCAACGAGAAAAACAGGAATRAATTAGTGGAATGAAAAGCGTTCGTTGATCCCTGTGGGATTTAGACTGCCGGTTTGAAAGATGAGCTTTTGTTCAAGAGTTTTATGGCTTTCCGTGCTACCTAAGTGTAAGGAAAGACCGCAGATTGCCATATGTTGCTTAGAATGATTAGGTAAATTAAAATCTGTAGCGACTGGTTTCGATGTGTCCTTGTCATTCTTTTCCACGTCTCGAAGGTGTTCTCAGAATCGGTCACCTAGTCTTCTGCCTGTTTCGCCCATGTATATCTTTTTGCAATAAGTGCAAGCTATGCAATAGATTACATTGGCAGAGGTGCACGTGAAGTGATCGGTGATCTCAATGGATTGATTAGGTCCTGATATTTTATCAGTGTTGTGAATGAAAGGACGCGTTTTGGATCGTGCATGAGCGCATTTTGAAGTGCCTGGTTGGTCATTAACCTAAAAAGAACTTCTGACCAAAAAATTGCCTATGTTTTTGTCGTGTTTGAATGAAATGAGTGGAGGCTGCGAAAAGATAGTACTTGTCTCTGGATCGTTTTGAAGTAATTTAAAGTTCTTAAAAATGATGGATTTAACTGAGTGGTTGTGAGGGTGAAACGTGAGAGTGAATGGAATGCGGACGGAATCTTCCTTATTCAACGTTTGTAGTGCTAAATGTAGATCAATAAATTGGGCACGGTGGTAACCTGCTTGAACGACAGAAACAGGGTAACTACATTTATCGAAAAACGGGCACATTGACTCTGATTTGTGGTGGAAATCAGAGTCATCACTACATAAACGACGAAGTCTTAGAAACTGAGAAAAAGGAATGGAATTCTTAACATGAGATGGATGCGAAGACGAATATAACAAGTAATTATGCGAGTCTGTAAGTTTGTAATACACACTAGTGCATAAACCGTTACCTTCAATTGAAACTTTGATGCCTAACAAGGATAAAGAATTGTCAGAAATTTCCCAGGTATATTTCAGGGCTGGGTGAAAAGAATTGACTGCAGTTATGAATTGAGTGAGCTCCTCTCTGGTAGAGGAGGTAGCGCCGATACAGTCATCGATGTAGCGACCGTAGAGTTCAGGTTTGGACCTGTTGTCTTGGCTGAAAAATTGATGTCCGACAAAACCTACAAAAAGATTGGCATAGCTAGGTCCCATTTTGGTGCCCATGGCTACACCATTGGTTTGTTTGAAGAAGTTGTTTCTGAATGAAAAACAGTTGAGTGTGGGCACTAGTTCGGCTAAGCGTAGAGGTGTTTCAGATTTATAGAGTAATGACCCTTATAGGAGAATATTTGAGACCCAGTGTAAAAACATAAAGAGCACTGAAGACTAATTTATCCACTGAGAGCCTATTTTTATTGTCTAGCTGGCAGTGCCCCTGGGAAATATGAAAATGGTATGTTCTGATCGGCTATAAAAGTGGGAAGGATGCCCTTTTTCTTTCTTTTTTTTTTTTAATGGACCTCAGCTTTCTTGGCCCATAAAAACACACAAAAAACGTTGCCAATATCCAGCCCTCTTGACCTCGTGCTTGATTTATAACAAATATATCTGTTAATGCATTATTAGGCTGTTTGTCAAGTTAAGGCCAATTTGAGGTTTAATGCAGACCACAATGAAATGTTTAGAACAGCATAATTACAATTTTCAATTGTTGATTCTCTAATAAGGGAAAATTACTTACTCAGCAATGTTAGCAATTTCACTGGCCTTCTTATAAAACTGTTGAATAAAAGAGTCCCTGCGACCTTTGTCACTCATTTTTGGACCTTCAATGTTCAACTTCAGTCTTTCTGTACCATCAATGGCTGTAAAATGAGGAAAAACAATTACAGTGGAAACTGTTTACACAAGAAAATGCTTCAGAAACCACAAAAAATTTCACCCCCACCCTTAAAATTGTATACAAACAATTTAAAAATTATTGCTTTGGAGATTACAAAGATGACCAATCCATTCGGAAATTGCCCGTGGATGTGCCAAAAATTCTGCCAATTTAAGCAGCTATTTTAAAAACAACTCCAAAACCAAGTAAAAGAGAAGGGTAGAAAAAGACAGTAAGATGCAGCAAGGGAGGGAGGAAGACAAATACCAGTATTCATTATGCCTACCAGTGTCTGTCCGTTGCTTCTTTGGACTTATATGCTGGAGACCCTCTCTACCTGAATTGACAGCAATGACAGTAAAAGAATAGTATGTGTTGTTGGACAGATGTTTAACTGTGTATGCCATTTGACCACCATCCACTTGATGGGAACTAATATCTTCTTGGTCTGCAAAGGTTTTTCCCCACGAAATCTGAAAAACAAACACAATGGACACCATTAAAATACAAAGTAAGCTGGTAGGCTATCAATTCTTTATCAATTAAGAAGCTAAAAATCTAACCATCTAAAATAGCAAACTAACAGAGACTTTATGATAACTGCCATGACAGAAAAAATTGAGTAGTTGACTGTCTAACAGACTGACTGATGGATGTAATGATGTTGTGATGTCATAGGCCCTTCAGGCATGCGCAATATAGAATGAAATGTATCCTGGATGTCGTTGTTGTTGTATTACGCCTAGTAATGGCGGGCTTTCATGAGACTTATTAAAACCAGTGTGTTCTCATCATTTTGCACTCATTTCGACTATGCTACAATGGACTGACAAACTCTTAAAAGAATAATGGACTAACTAAATAACATTGACTAATTGACAAAAAGATGGATTCTGACTGTCTGATAGACTAATAAACAGGGTTCTTGCACTTTTTCAGGAACCCAATTCAAGGACTTTAAAGGAATTTTCTGCTCATTTTCAAGGACCTTGGCTCTCAAATTCAAGGACCTTTTGCATTAACTGGAGCTAACAGAAATAAAAAAACATTGCTCTTTGTCACGTGTCAAACATCATAATTGGACACAGGATTTGAAAGGAAAACTTGTTTTCACAATTTGTGCTAGAAACTTACACTTTCAACACCAAAACAAAAGAAAGCTGTGACTTTGATTCGTCTACACATATTTTCAAGGACTTTTCAGAAATTTCCAAGGATTAGAGACTAAATTCAAGGGTTTTTGAGTCCTTGAAAACAAAAAATTAAATTCAAGGACTTTCAAAGAGCACAGGAACCATGAATAAAAACAACCATCTATAATTGACTAAATAACAGACAGACAAAATGAGTGAAAAGTGACTTGATTTACTTACTGAATAAATAAAAAAAAATAATAAAAAAAGTCTTTAGAGGATTACACAATTACTGGTGAACCAGTAGTTTCCATTGTGGTCCTTGCAAACACATGAAACAAATGGTCTAAATTGAACATAACATCATTAAGAACATGATTAAGAACCCCAACCGGCCCGAGGCAAACCAGTTGGCTATTTACAAGTGAGGCCAAGGATCTGAACTCGGGGCTACCGTGAAACAAATCCAGTGGTCAGGGTGTGACTGGAACCCAGGAGCGGCGGATTACAAGTCCGACACTCTAACCACTCAGCCACACTGCCTCCTCCTGAATGTGGGATAAGAGACTAAATATTAAGCAACTCGACAGAACAATTCATTGACACACTGATAGACAGACCTATCAACTGTCTATCCAAATAACTGTAAAAAAGAAAGACTACTCAGACATTTACTGCCTAACCAAATAACTGTAAAAAAAAAAAGACTACTCAGACAACTGTCTAACCAAATAACTGTAAAAAAAAAGACTACTCAGACAACTGTCTATCCAAATAACTGTAAAAAAAAGACTAATCAGACAACTGTCTATCCAAATAACTGTAAAAAAAAAGACTACTCAGACAGCTTTCTAACCAAATAACTGTAAAAAAAAGACTACTCAGAAAACTGTCTAACCAAATAACTGTAAAAAAAAGTCTACTCAGACAACTGTCTAACCAAATAACTGTAAAAAAAAAAGACTACTCAGACAACTGTCTATTGAAATAACTGTAAAAAAAAGACTACTCTGACTAATAGACAGACACAACAACTGTCTAATCAAATAACTGTAAAAAAGACTACCTTGTAATGAGTAATTTTTCCTCTTGGTTTTGATGGTTTGGACCATGTGACTTTGATACTTGCCGAGGTAGGTGGAATGGTTTCTGTTGTAACATACTCCACAATACCAGGACCTTTAGAAAACCAATCATTAATAAAACTGTCAGCCATGAGAAGTGCATGATAACTGTATTTCATTTTCCTTCATGTACATCAGTTCAGAAAAAAGAAGTCATATGATACAGGAACTCTGACAAAATAACTTTCAGAATTCTCTCACTTGTTGCATTACAGGAACTAGCTTGCTTGGATGATACTTCAAAAGAATTTTACATTCTGCCCATCTGAATAGAAGATAGTTTTAAGCCAGGAATTCCGCACTCTCCATTACCTGAACAACAGTCCCTCCCCACAGAGATGCCTCGGTTGGTTGAAATGTGTGTGTGTGTGTGTGTGTGTGTGCACCTAAACTCTGGAACGAACTGCCATTAGATCTTAGAAGTTTAGATACAATTAATTTACTCAAGAAACACTTAAAGACCGATTTTTTAAAAAAGCATATTGTTACGTGCACGAATGACCAACAAATGTCCGCTAACAAAGCATATATGAAAATAGACTCCCGAGTACGATATATGGCACGCAACAAAAATGTAACAACAAGCAGTTACCCATTTTAACTATTATTTAATTAGTTTTACACTGTCTAATTTACTTAGGTTAGAGATTAAGTTAAGTAGTTCATAAAGCAGGCTTACAATCCTTCATGCCGCAGAAGTGTTTATAGTCTTGATCAACTTCCAACACCCGCTGACTGAAGACCACAGCGCTTGGCTTTCTTGATTCATGGCTTTCTTTCCGTGTACACAAATTCTTCCGGAGGACTTCAAAGTGAACTCGAAATTCTTTATCTCCTTCCTCTCTTGGCTTTCGTATTTTTCTTCTCTCTCTTCTCTCCAGATATCGCAAGGTCAAAAGGTCACAGACTTGTCACATCATAGCTTCCACAAGTTCAGTCAGCAAGCCAGGAGGGTAAGCCCTCGGGCACATCTTTATTGTACTTCTCACAAGCCAGCTTTTATACATTTACTTTAGTTATCTAAAATGTTCTATTACTATTTATAGCGTATTACAAGTTGTACTATTTTTGGAAACTGCTGAGTCACACGACAGAAGTTTCTGGAATATTACAGATTATAGATAATTCTAGAAAAGTCTGGGATTGCGTGACAGATTCAGTGAAAATAATTCGATCCTCGTAACAATATAATGTTTAACTTTTTGATAATTTGGAATAGGATTTACTGTGATATTTTTATAAATAAGTCTGCAAATAGGTTTTTAATTTATTCATATTTTATTACCAGTGGGATCTTTTTATTTATTTTAATATTATTAATTGTAAAGCACTTTGGTCAATTAGTGGAGTTAGCACTATATAAATTATGTTAAATCAAATTAAAAATTAAATGTGTGTGTGTGTGTGTGGGTAAAATCATGTAAAGCAACTAGGATACTTAACTCGACACAGCAGGGAGGCCCTTGACAAAAAAACTTACTATCTTCATTAGTTGTTGCTGATGCTGGGGGACTCTTTACACTGGACCCTCGCTGGTTTTTAGCAGAAATGACAAACTTGTAAGTAACGTATGCCTCCAGTCCTCTAACAATATAACTGCTTTGGTTTGGATCAACTTCAATTGGCTTGGTATCTGGATGGGGGCTCAGCTGAAAGGAAAAAAAAAAAAAGACATAAGATCAGTGAACTACCCAACTATACTTTTTAGACAATTGACTATGAAAGGAATTTGTTGCGACACAAGGCAAAGCTGTTACCGGTACAAGAACAGCAAATATTTGTTTTCAAATATGAACATGTAACAACTGTTTCAACCTTAGATTGTTCAATTAAAAAGGATAGCTTAGCACTCAAGTGGTTAGAGCACTGGACTGTTGTGCGGTAGGTTGAGGATTCGAGCCCTGGCCAGACCAACACTCAAGGTCTTAAAATAACTGAGGAGAATGATGTGCTACCTTTCTATAATATCAAGAAATGGATAGATATTCTAGTTTACTTTGATTAGCACAAATAAACTACCGGCTAGTTAGCCCAATGGATAGTGCGCTGGACTGTTGTGCAAGAGGTAGAGGATTCGAGCCCCGGATGGACCAACACTCAAGGTCTTAAAATAATTGAGAAGAATAAGCTAGTTTTCTATAACATCAAGAAATGGTTAGATATTCTGGTCTTCTCAGATAGGGACGAATAAATGGAGATCCTGTCTCCTGCAGGGTTGGGGCAGGAGACGTTAATTTCCCACACACAAGATTACTGTGTGATGGATGCCCTCCCTTGGGGTGGGATGGGTGGGTTTACTTGGCTGCAGTAATTGGTGCAAGCTGTTGCTGTGTCCCTGCCCGTTGGTGAAGCTAAATAAACTATAAACTGAACTATAAACTGTAGGTTCTGTCTCCTGCATCTATCAATTAATTAATTTGGTAAGGCAGGGGATGTTAAAGAACCCACTCACGAGATTACTGTGATGTGGTCTGNNNNGTTAGAGATTAAGTTAAGTAGTTCATAAAGCAGGCTTACAATCCTTCATGCCGCAGAAGTGTTTATAGTCTTGATCAACTTCCAACACCCGCTGACTGAAGACCACAGCGCTTGGCTTTCTTGATTCATGGCTTTCTTTCCGTGTACACAAATTCTTCCGGAGGACTTCAAAGTGAACTCGAAATTCTTTATCTCCTTCCTCTCTTGGCTTTCGTATTTTTCTTCTCTCTCTTCTCTCCAGATATCGCAAGGTCAAAAGGTCACAGACTTGTCACATCATAGCTTCCACAAGTTCAGTCAGCAAGCCAGGAGGGTAAGCCCTCGGGCACATCTTTATTGTACTTCTCACAAGCCAGCTTTTATACATTTACTTTAGTTATCTAAAATGTTCTATTACTATTTATAGCGTATTACAAGTTGTACTATTTTTGGAAACTGCTGAGTCACACGACAGAAGTTTCTGGAATATTACAGATTATAGATAATTCTAGAAAAGTCTGGGATTGCGTGACAGATTCAGTGAAAATAATTCGATCCTCGTAACAATATAATGTTTAACTTTTTGATAATTTGGAATAGGATTTACTGTGATATTTTTATAAATAAGTCTGCAAATAGGTTTTTAATTTATTCATATTTTATTACCAGTGGGATCTTTTTATTTATTTTAATATTATTAATTGTAAAGCACTTTGGTCAATTAGTGGAGTTAGCACTATATAAATTATGTTAAATCAAATTAAAAATTAAATGTGTGTGTGTGTGTGTGGGTAAAATCATGTAAAGCAACTAGGATACTTAACTCGACACAGCAGGGAGGCCCTTGACAAAAAAACTTACTATCTTCATTAGTTGTTGCTGATGCTGGGGGACTCTTTACACTGGACCCTCGCTGGTTTTTAGCAGAAATGACAAACTTGTAAGTAACGTATGCCTCCAGTCCTCTAACAATATAACTGCTTTGGTTTGGATCAACTTCAATTGGCTTGGTATCTGGATGGGGGCTCAGCTGAAAGGAAAAAAAAAAAAAGACATAAGATCAGTGAACTACCCAACTATACTTTTTAGACAATTGACTATGAAAGGAATTTGTTGCGACACAAGGCAAAGCTGTTACCGGTACAAGAACAGCAAATATTTGTTTTCAAATATGAACATGTAACAACTGTTTCAACCTTAGATTGTTCAATTAAAAAGGATAGCTTAGCACTCAAGTGGTTAGAGCACTGGACTGTTGTGCGGTAGGTTGAGGATTCGAGCCCTGGCCAGACCAACACTCAAGGTCTTAAAATAACTGAGGAGAATGATGTGCTACCTTTCTATAATATCAAGAAATGGATAGATATTCTAGTTTACTTTGATTAGCACAAATAAACTACCGGCTAGTTAGCCCAATGGATAGTGCGCTGGACTGTTGTGCAAGAGGTAGAGGATTCGAGCCCCGGATGGACCAACACTCAAGGTCTTAAAATAATTGAGAAGAATAAGCTAGTTTTCTATAACATCAAGAAATGGTTAGATATTCTGGTCTTCTCAGATAGGGACGAATAAATGGAGATCCTGTCTCCTGCAGGGTTGGGGCAGGAGACGTTAATTTCCCACACACAAGATTACTGTGTGATGGATGCCCTCCCTTGGGGTGGGATGGGTGGGTTTACTTGGCTGCAGTAATTGGTGCAAGCTGTTGCTGTGTCCCTGCCCGTTGGTGAAGCTAAATAAACTATAAACTGAACTATAAACTGTAGGTTCTGTCTCCTGCATCTATCAATTAATTAATTTGGTAAGGCAGGGGATGTTAAAGAACCCACTCACGAGATTACTGTGATGTGGTCTGGCCCGTTTACTGGGCCTGCAGTAATTGGCAGTAGCTGTTGCGGAGTCCCTGCCTGTCGGCAAAGCTAATAAATTAAATTAAAATCATTTGGGAGTTTGGGAGTTTCTTCCATATTTTATGGGAATATATATTTAAAAAACTCTATTACTTTCAAATTTGCTCAGGGTGCAGTTTCTGCCTTAAGATGTCCACTGCAATAACTGAAAGCAGTATCAAATAAAAGGCACAAGTTTGGCTCTGACTCAACAGTAAATTATGTTATGTAAATTATGATCTTGTACCTGGTTAATTATATATCCAGTTACGATTCCACCACTCTGTGAAGGTTTCACCCAAGTTAACTTTATTCGATTGGGAGAGATAGCAACAGCCTTAAAGTTTCGAGGAGCACCAGGTTCTGTCAGATAAAGAAAAAGATCAAACTCAGGAGGAAGTAAAAATAAATATAAACTATTCTCTGCAATGGAGATAACTGGTGATGGCCGATATTTACCAGGCTGCAAAGGGGCGAGGCAATATCCCCCACAGCCACAAACACTGAAGTGAATAATTGTTTTAGTATGTATAAACACAGTGAGATAATAATTAGATGGCACATAAAGGTGATTTAAACTCATACACTCCTACAATGATTACGATATTTTCAGGGGGAAATCCCACGTGAGTTGCTCCGAGGTGAATGGCAAAGGACATTCCAAGTACGAGAAGCCAATTAAAGCAAGCCAACAACAGTATCTACTGTTTTAGACTATACTGATAAGAATGTATGGTAGAGTTTCTTTAATCAGGATTTAAACTCTTTTTATGAGGTAACCTGAATCAAATTAAGAACAATTCAAGATTGAAATCTGGGAGGTCTGGATGGTCGAGGGTTACCAAATCCAAATCTTTGCAACACCCCTTATCCACTTCTTTGACCTTATTAGGTTCTGTCACCTGCAGTAGGGGTAAGAGACATTAATTTCCCATGCACAAGATTATTGTGTGATGGATGTCCTTCCCTGGGGTGAGATGGGTGGGTTGGGTTTAGGTGGATGAACCTAGTAGGGGACTACGTGTCATTTTGTTCTTCCACCTGTACAATGTACAAATCTTTAGAAATAAGAAATGTCAATTTGTTAATCATATTTCACTAATCCACAGACACAAATTGCCTTGTTGCTGCATTTAACTTAGGGTGGCCTGCAGGGAAAATTTCTATTGTAAATATTTAAAATGAAGTAAATGATACCTGAATGGCATATTATATCAGTGCTTCAAAAAATTTACAACTCCTTTAAACTAAACCTTGTTTGTATGCTTGTCATCATAAATAGAGTGCTTATTTATTTCCACTGATTTAACACCACTAACTTACTTGTTATTTGTGTGGTTATATTAACTGCTGCCTTTGGTCCTTCACCAGCTTCTGAATAAGCCCAGATGCTAATTTTTGATTTGACTCCTGGAGATAGATGGCAGATAACAACATAGCTTGATCCTACATCAATGGGTTGCTTGCCTACAAGTTCCACTTTGTAACCCTGCAATTTGTAATACACACAGTTTGCTTCAATACCAACCATTAATTTTGGAAAATTAGGGAGAGAGAGCACGCATGAAGGTCAAGCAAAAAGAGAGATAACTAGCATCAATTCAGGGGTAAAACACACCAAAAATACCACCAAATCATAATTGGTTTTTAGTTCTCTCACCTTGGCTGGAAATGGCCTCTGATCAGATGCTGAAATGTTAGGTGGACTCCAACGCACCACTGCACATGTCCCATTGTTGGAAATCATTTCAATGTTCTGAGGTGGAAGGACTGGTTCTGAGGGAAATGTTCAGAGCTGATTAGATCACAGGACCCTTGAAGCTAACTCCAGCAAGAAAGGAAAAAGTCAGCAATTGAGACAAAAGGCCAGTAGCACCATTCCCCCGAAATGGTTTGCTAAACCACTGCAGGTTATCTCCGATATTTTGCAAGGTTCTCCTGACAGGTCACTGCTACTCATTCACACTCCTTAGAGGCGAGAGACTTTGTAAGAGTAGGGTATCTTGCCCAAGAACTAAACATAAAAACCCATCCAGATCTTCAACGTAAACCTCTTGATTCACAGTCCAGTGCCAGTTAGGTTAATGTGTCTCCCAAAAACTCCAACCACAGCTTACGTTTATTTCTCTACCTCGTTGATAGTTCTCATTACTTACTTGACAACTTTGTCAGTGCTTGCTTTGGACCTGCAGCTAGGCTGCGATCAGATCCACTGTTTGCAGAAACCTACAATAAATTGTGGAAGGAAATACCATTCCGATTTGAGTAACTGCTTGATTTATTACCTTGTCAGGCCTGGTTTCTAATCCTTTTTGCACCTCAAACATTTGTATTAAAAATAGATGGAACAAATTTGTAGCCTTACTCATTCAGGCACATTACCACCTACTTTCATAATAACTTCAGCCTTTACTCCCTAACATCAATATGCAAATTTTTTTCCATACTGTTCTTTGCACATATATTTCTCAACGCACTGAGGACGAAAATTTCACCAATTACAATTCTGAAAAACCTCCACAAAATTTCAAAACTGCTATACCCAGGTTGCAAACTTTAAAAACTTTCTGTAAAGGTTATCAGATTGTAATCACAATGGTAGGCCATTTCTGGCCAAAAAAATCACATTTTCTCACTCCAAATTGAAGTATTCTTTGAAAGCACTTTATAGCTTGTGCCTTTATCTTGCATATCGCATTCCTCATTAGTTTTCATTGCAATATCTGCTCAGTTTCTCTGTGCCATTGCTTTCATTCAGCAATAAATTAATTACAGTCTTCACTCTTCTGGCTGACAGTTCATTCAGTTTCTGGCCTTTTGATTGGTTTGTCCCACTTTTTGATGGTTTTTATGAGAATCAGCCACTTAATCACAAAATGAGATTTCATTCATCATTTCTTCTGATAAACCTCGCTCATGAATATTTAATGTCCTTAAAGCAATAATCCACAATTTGTATTAGTTTACCTGCTGATAAACCACTTGGGAAGCTGGGAGAAGATTTCAAAAGTTTGTAACCCATGAGGCACAGCCAACATTCTGTATGGTTTATCAGCTGGTAAACTGATAGAAAGTGTGGTTTACTGCTTAAATTTTCATTCTGATATGAGATATGCATATACTCTAAAGTATGATTTACCTCAAAGAAATATACAGTGTCCTGTGCTAAGCCAGTAATTATTTTTGATGAATTGAGAACGTTTTGAATAACCTCCACTTTATCATTAGTGAAGGGCCAATATCTGATCTAAAAAAAAAAAAATTGATTACCTTAACAATTATTTCAATTACTGTTTCAATCAATGCAAAACAATTACTCTAAAATTTGTAGAATAAAAGTAGGTATTTCAATGTATTAACTTCTTTATTAATTACTTGTATATTACAAATTTCAAATCAAATTTCCTTTTTAGTTACTACACTTGAATGAGCTGATCAAGCCTCAACAAACAACAAAACTGTTTTTTTCCTTTTCAAGATGCCATTTCCTCTATGCCCTGACAGTGGCAATAACAATTCCCTTCCTATTACAAGGAGAATTTTTTTGATGATCTCTTTCCCAGTTGTGACAACATCTCGTTGGCAAAAAAAGTGACAAAAAATTAAAGTCATTGTGTGATAGTGAGTCCCACTCTCTTACTTGCAAGAATTACAGAGTAATTGTAGCAGGTACCTGCCTCTGCAACTCATCTCCAAGTACACAACAATCTTAGTACTGTGAATTGACACAGTTGGTATATTATAGAGTATACATTGATATAGGTGGGTAAACAGGAGAGGCAAATATTATAAATTTCTTGCTTCATTAGTAACAATGTTCTAGAGTTGTTTGGTCTCTTACTGTGTAACTTGTGATAAGTTTATTGGGGTATTCTGGAGCTTTCCATTCCACTCGAATGGCTGAAGAATTTACAGGGTAAGCTCGCAAGTCTCTTGGTGCTCCAGGGGCTGAATAAAAATCAATACAATTATATAAACATCAAGTTTTTATTTAGATCATAATCACCTTATTGATCAGAAAACCCTGATGAAAAATCTACCAAAATTTGGTATCACCTGTATGGGAAATGTGCTCAAAGTAAATTGTGACTTACCACTTGTATTAGTTGTGGTAAATGCAATGTTTGACACTAGAGATTCTTTTCCTCCAGACAGTGATGAAACCTTGACGTAGTAAGTGGTAGCTGGTAATAATTTCTCCACTGTACATGATAGTGGTGTCTCATTTGCACATTTAATCTTATTGAAGCCAGTATTGCCTGAGGTACTAAAGCAGAATCGAGGGGAAAATTAGTGTTGTTTAAATCCTCATCACCACCATCGTCATCATTATCATGATCATAATTTTGATTTGATTGTAATGATCATTATTTTCATCATTGCCAGTATCATGATGAACAATCATAAGATGCCAATGAACATCATGGACAATTATTCAATGAGGTTTGAAATAAAGCTAATAAGTGAAAGCATCCAGATGTCATGAAACTGAGCTAAGTGCCCCATTCAGATTTCCTGTCATTAAACATGATGTCATTATAAGGAAAAACTACTCACCTCATATAAACATTGTGTCTATAACTGCCAGTCTTTCCAGCATGTTTCCAAGTAATGTTTATTTTTGTTGGCCCAAGAACGCTTGCGGTGACATTCTGTGGAACACTGTCTGTTGGGAGAAATTAAGATGATGGTTGACTTGGTGTTTCACTTCCAAACATACATTATATACTCATTGTAGATCTTTGCTTGAGATAATCTCAAAGCAAACAGACAAAGACAATTCATGACTAAGATGGCTGAGGATTGCTCTTTTTAAATCTTGGGGTTACTTTTATGGTCCTATATCTCTGTTCAAAATTTCCTCCTGTAAATATATTGAGTGAAATATCAATTTTAAGCAGAAGTTGTGTTTCTGATAGACACTGCAAGAATAAAATGACTCCAAGTGTAAAAGAAGAAAGTAAGATGAATTTCGAATTAAGTACTAAGAGATTTAGGCACGATAATTTTATCACAAGGAATTATCACAAATACACAACAGTTACTATGAGAAGTCCAAAGTTAGAAACAAAACAAACCTTTGTTTATGACTTTAATTTGAACCTTCTTCTTAACAAAACTCACAAAATTTTTTGCTGTGACTTCAACTGTATAACTAAAAGCCAACAGACATGTCATTAATCATGTGCTGGGTTTGGAGTTGACACGAGTTGAAAAGAAGGGAATAAAGAAGACCGCGTTGGGATTTGGCAAGAAAACGAGCAGTGACTCTGCAGAAGCCCTGCTTCTACACAGCATTTTGGAGGAAAGTGAAAAAGAAAGTTCCTCCTGGCACTTAGGTGACTGTCAGACGGGGAAAGGTTTACAATCAATCTCAAGTTTAATCCCATGTAGTTTTTGAGTAACCTTTTACTCCCAATGAGATTAAAATTAGAGATACAATTCACAGAAAACGTCATCAATATACCTTTTCCAAGTAGCAATTTTAAAACCTTGGTGATTAATACCCTTTTTTATTGACAAAGGCTACTACTGTTGTGGTATCTTTGCCATTTCCACTTGGTTTGTGAGAAAAAGAATTGATTTCCTGAGAAATTATCAATATTATCAATATATAACCTCTTCCAAAGAAGCAATTTAGTTGTGCTCTAGGTGATAATACCCTATTTCTATTACAATAAAAATACTGGCAAAAGCTATGTTGTGGTATTCTTTGTCATTTCAGTTTTGTAATGAGGCTAAATGAAATTTAGGCAAGGTTAAAATCAAGGTATGATGGTCAGCGGAGGACATGCTGCGGGGCGCCCCCTTTGCAATTGCAGGGTCACGAGGTTTCCAGTACGTTTTGAGATCGTCGCGGATCCTAACGTGAGCCGCCTCTTGTGCTCCCGCCCTCCCTCCTCTATGGTGGGCCAAGAGCAGGTAAGTATAAAAAAACAATTCCACTGACTTGTCAGTGTGACGGGTGCCAGGGGGGTGGACCGAGGTTGTGTCGCCATGGTAACCTCCCTGCTGTGGGTAGTCAGCGCGACTGCCACAGTGCTACGGCACCTTCCTCCAAGCTCATCAGTGCCGATGAGTTTAATTTGACAAAAATTATCGAGTTCCCAGATAATAACATTAACAATAGCGCCCAAACCACAATGGTTAAGTCAGTGGCCCTTTAACACAATTAGAATAACTATTTCAAGATTAAAAAATATATTATTCTGCTGACTTACTTTTGAGCTTTCTTAAAGCGAAGAGTGACAACTTGTTGCCAACTGGAAATTCCTGAAACATCATCATATTGCCATTTGTACATAACTTTTCCAACGTCTCCCTGAAAATTGTCCATTGAAAGTAAGAAAGTCCAACTGTTAGAATCTGTATTGCTACTAATTTAATAACTCACAACCCATATTCAAATTCTGGGTCAAAGGCTATACTAAGAAATGTTAGGCTTTATCTGATTTGAGTTTCACTGTTTTCCTTGGCCCATACAACCATACTAAATTCAGCAAATGGCACTTACCGCTGAATAATTCAAGTTTATGGAAAACATAACATCCTCATCCACACCAGGATTTTTAGGATGGAAATAGGTTGATACTCTTTTACTCACAAGTTTATCTGTAGGAGACCAATATTCATCTATTAACAAATTACATCAACAAAATTCATGTCTGGTACAATGAACAACTAATGCAGGTTAACCCAGAGACTTTCAGTATTCTTTGCATAACATTTCCATGTTGGTAAGTTCAATATCCTTAATAAATGTGTGCTAGTTCAAGCTGTGAGACTGGCTAGGTAGCACAACATAAATTCCACCCTGAGGGAGAGCTCAACCCACAGTAATTATATACTAGTTACCTTGAACATACACTTCCATTTTCTGCACCAAAGTACTCCGCTCATTGTGTGCTACCACTATTACATGGTACCTTCCAGCTCTGAAACAATGAAGACAGGTGAATAAATAAATATAGAAGTGTTAATACAAAATTAACAAACAGTCCATGCTGGAAGACTGAGGGGTCTAATATAAAGTATAGGCAAGACTCAACATTTAATCATGCACAATTTAAAACCTGCCAGCGATCATGTTGTGGACCATAGCATGTAACATGGACAAGACATTTTAATCTCCAGTCCTTTTCTCCAGCCAGGCCACAAAGGTCAAATAGCTCAACACGTTTGCAGATTTTACCACAAAATGAAGTTAAAAAATGAAGAGTAACCTTGTCACAAATTTTAATCAATGGCTTCTTCTGGTTTTCATGGATTTATTTTACAACCTGCACAAGAATGTTTTAGAAAAAATTTGTATTTCCTTCCGTCTGCCTTTGTAGATTCTTTCATTCTGTTGAGAATTCCAGTAGTTTATAGGATACTTTGAGTAGGAAACTTTTCTTACTTATGATACGAGTGGTTCCGACTGGCAAACTGTACTCCAAAACCATTCTCTTCATGTTCATCTCCATAGTACCACCTAAGAAATATGTTAATATAACTATCTAAAAAGCCCACAAGGGAGAAAGGTCACTACATTCATGCCCAAAGTGGGATCTTGGGGATCTCTGATCTTATGGGTTGGCCTGCTGAAAGGCTGTGGTTTTGCTTGAATCCAACCAAGTAACTGAAGAGCCACGTGGTACAAGATGACCCTTTCAATGCTTTCATCACATTACGCATTTGCATTAAATAGCTCCCTTTCCATTTCTTCTTGATGCTGATCTTAAAGTGTGTATTTTTTCTTTCTTTGCTCATCATTTAATTCCTATTTTACGGGGGTTTCTTTTCTGATGGCTTAAATTTGTCTCAAGGAAAGTTGCTTGAAGCAATTATTTACAACTTGACACTTGCACAATTCAAGAACAAATGTAACAGACCCTCAGAAATGCACTTTTTATGCAGTGACATGACTAGGAACCAGTCAGGATTTGTCTTTGTTCACTTACATGTAATTTACATTTTTTTGATATCCTTTGACAAAAGACGTATTGAAAAACACTGTGCTCCCAGTCTCCACTGCAACTTTTCCATCATCTGTGACATTAGGACTACTTAGTGTAAAATTTTTCAGCTCTGCAAAACAATTACACAACTGCATCAGTATTTAAAATCTCAAATTTCACAAAACAAAATTCATCATGTTTTCAGTAACCTATTTCTACAAGAAAAAAACTTGGAATGGTTAAATTTCACAACCTACCTTTTTAACCTCTTCACGGAATTCAAGATTTGGTGTTCCACCACAAGTTACAGAAGATAGGTCACACTTTTTTGACGAAAAACCGAAAGGATCAACAAGGCCACAGAGATTGGTGAAAGCGAATATTGAGATATTTTTGGAAACAGTGACAGTGAAAATGACTTTGAGGGATTCTTGTTTCTGGATAGTGGAACAGTGATCCTTTGTAAAAGTTTGCAATTTCTGCAAAAATTTCCACTTACTCAAGAAGACAGTTTTCTTTCTTAGAGAATTTTTTTTTTTGTCAAATGAGAAATTAAAAAAAGAAAGAGTTGTCTCAAATTTTTGGCTTGATTGTACTTTGTTACTGGAAAAAAATTTTTTTTCTGTGGGATTGGGTCAATAGTTCATTGTGCAACCTATATGTAGGTGCAGCCTACACACAGGTAAACTAATATGGTAAGTGCATGTGGCAAGCACCTGCCTACTGCTTGGATTACCAAGTGGGACTTTTGTTGGATATCTACCTTGTAATTGGTTTATCACCCAAGCTAACTAAAGGAGAATCAAAATTCAATTTTCTTTCTTTTTACTTCATGTTCCTGACGAAACAATTACAACTGTCCTTTACTATTAACCCAGCTCAAAATGCACCTTGTACTTTTTATTCTATTAAGCCAAAATATCCTCCCAGAATTCACCTAGTGATGCATTCAACATATATACATATACATATGTTAATTGACCACTCCCCATGAGGGCTTTTCAGGGACAATTCGGCAAGTAATTCACGGCAGTCTCCATATAGACTCCCTGTTACCCATGTATACTGTTATGTTACCCATGTACACCCTGTATACCCTGTGTACCCCATGTACCCATGTATACCCCTGTGTACCCAGTGTACCCATGTATACCTTGTGTACCCATGTATACCCTGTGTACCCATGTATACCCGCGCACCCATGTATATCCTGTATACCTGTGTACCCTGTATACCCGTGTATACCCTGTGTACCCCGTGTACCCATGTATACCCGCATACCCATGTATATCCTGTATACCTGTGTACCCTGTATACCCGTGTATACCCTGTGTACCCCGTGTACCCATGTATACCCGCATACCCATGTATATCCTGTATACCTGTGTACCCTGTATACCCGTGTATACCGTGTATACCCTGTGTACCCCGTGTACCCATGTATACCCCGTGTACCCATGTATACCCCTTGTACCCCGTGTACCCATGTATACCCTGTGTAACCTGTATACCCCTTGTACCCTGTGTACCCATGTATACCCTGTGTACCCTGTATACCAGTGTACCCCGTGTACCCATGTATACCCTGTATACCCGTGTACCCCGTGTACCCATGTATACCCGTGTACCCCTTGTACCCATGTATACCCTGTGTACCCATGTATACCCTGTGTACCCATGTATACCCTGTATACCCATGTATATCCCGTGTACCCATGTATACCCTGTGTACCCCGTGTAACCTGTATATCCTGTGTACCCATGTATACCCCTTGTACCCCATGTACCCATGTATACCCTGTGTAACCTGTATACCCCTCGTACCCTGTGTACCCATGTATACCCTGTGTACCCATGTATACCCTGTGTACCCTGTATACCAATGTACCCCATGTACCCATGTATACCCGTGTACCCTGTGTACCCATGTATACCCGTGTACCTATGTATACCCATGTATACCCTGTATACCCATGTATACCCTGTGTACCCCGTGTACCCATGTATACCCTGTGTACCCCGTGCAACCTGTATACCCTGTGTAGCCATGTATACACTGTATACCCCGTGTACCCATGTATACCCTGTGTACCCCGTGCAACCTGTATACCCTGTGTAGCCATGTATACACTGTATACCCCGTGTACCCATGTATACCCCGTGTACCCATGTATATCCCGTGTAACCTTTGTACCCAGTGTACCCATGTGTACCGTGTGTACCCTGTAGACCCTGTGTACCCTTTGTACCCCGTGTACCCATGTATATCCTGTGTACCCATGTATACCCCGTATACCCTGTGTACCCATGTATACCCTGTGTACCCATGTATACCCTGTGTACCCATGTATACCCATTATACCATGTGTACCCATGTATATCATTTATACCCTTGTATACCTTGTATACAAAACGGTTGGGCCACGCCCAGATTTGTCTCCTTTAGGAGTTTAATTCAAAATTCCAAACAAGCATCCATTTTATATGGGATTTCCCCCCAGGATAATAAAATCACAATAAGTTGTTCATAATTAATTTGTGAACATACAAAAAGGGATTGTGCACGGTTAGAGAGCTTCCATTGTTTCCAACTGATGTTTACCCGGTTTCCTGTATGCATGGTACACAGGGTTTGCAGGGTGTACAGGATATACAAGGTATACCAGGTACACAGGGTATACAGGGTATACAGGGTATACAGGGTATACAGGGTATACAGGGTATACAGGGTATACAGGGTATACAGGGTATACATGGTACACATGGGTACACATGGGTACACGGGGTACATGGGGCACACACGGGGTACACAAGATGCACAGGATACACAGGGTATACAGGGTGTACATGGGTAAGAGAACAGTATACATGGGCAACAGGGGTAACAGGGAGTCTATATGGAGACTGCCATGAATAACTTGCCGCGTCCGGCAAGGGTACACAGGGTACACAGGGTAAACAGGGTACACAGGGTATACAGGGTGTACACATGGGTAACATAACAGTATACATGGGTAACAGGGAGTCTATATGGAGACTGCCATGAATTACTTGCCGACAATTCCCACCCAGCAACCACCCCAGGGAAGGACATCCATCACACAGTAATCTCATGCATGGGAAATTAACGTCTCCTACCCCTAACCCTGCAGGAGACAGGACTTCCAATTATTCGTCCCTATCCAAGAAGACTAGAGTATCTAACCATTTCTTAATAGAAAGGTAGCATATTCTTTTCACTTGTTTTAAGACCTTCAGTGTTGGTCTGGCCGGGGCTCGAACCCTCGACCTCCCACACAACAGTCCAGTGCTCCATCCATTGGGCTAACTGGGAGGTGGCAACTTTTCAACCTTTATATACTGTATATTCATGTGATGCGTCCTTTACCTTGAACAGGACAATGTGTTTGCACTGGCAAAAAGTCCTCTTCTGTTCCATTTTCACAAGTATTTCCTTCTATCTTTCGGAAACTAAAAGAACAAAAAAAGAAAGAGGATAAGAACCAGTGCCATTGAAGGTATGGTGAACATTATTTTAAAAAATTGGTAATTGTTTCCTATATTGATCAATATAAATAAATAAATAAATATAACAAATAATAAATAATTGAGATATAATTATTTTGATCACTATAACCTATCCCTCAGCCTTATACTTGGCATGCAAGACAATCTAAATTACTCAGGGATATTTTCTAGAGGTGTAAGACAGTAGAAGATTGTTGGAGTCAAGGAAAAGATCAATTCTTTTTCACTTTCACCACTTTGAGAGGGGTAACAGACTTCTCACAATACAATGACGACAGAAAGAAAGGTAATGGATTGTCAGACTTATGCAAAGAATAAATAAAATGCAAAAACAACTTTTTTATATGTGATTTTACACAGCAGACTTCATATGGCAGGGATGAAGGTTGATCAAAATTTTTTTTAAGTAAGATGACTTGTTTTAAGTAACCCAAGGTTTGAATTGTAGAATAAATGAAAATCCTACCCTTGAGATCTGTTGTAAAATGATCCCTCTGGGCAGTCATTTGGAATAAGCTCCTTATTCAGGTCATCAGACTTGATAGGAGTACACTCTTCATCAAAATTCTGATTCTTTCTTTGAAAACCATAGTCACTGCATAAAATTTAAAAACTAAATGAACAAACTTGTGTTTAAAGTAATATAAAATGTTTTACACTTTAAACATTTTTTCCTCTGCATTCCCATTTGCAATGATGAACTAGTGGTCAGAGCATTGCATTCTTAGAGGTAACCCTTGAATTACTGGTTGCATAACAGCACAGATCAAAACCTCATTAAGATTAGTAGTTAAATGTATGTTGGTTGCTAAATAAAAGAGAAATTCCAGGATAGACTAATAGTGGTTAAAACTTCCCACAAAAATTGCACTGCAATGAAACCTATGTAAAAAAAAAAAAGAAATTAGGCACGAAAAAAAAATTGAGGCCTAGAAAATTTTCCATTACCTCTCATACTCACCCAAAAATATCAAAATCATCAAATTTCAGTGATTCTCTGAAAAAGACCTTTGGTTATGGTTTTATACACCATGCAGTTACCATTACTATAGATACTGTCAGTAATGGAAATAAGTCCAAGTGTTTACCATGTAAAATCATCTCTACTACAAGGACAATTCCCTATGTTCTGAGGTCGATTGTAGTCTCTACCCATGTGGCAGTGTATGGTCCAATTCCTGGTCTCAAACTCCTGTTGCCGACCCAAAATACAGCCATCTTTGAAGGTGGAGAAGCCAGAAGAATCACAGACTGGACCTGAGATAAAAGTCGCAAACAAAGTACTGATCTAGCATCTTATTTAAGGGGCTGGATATTAGCCCTATGTCACTGTGTTTGCATTGACTAAGCATGACAGAGTTTAAAATTCATAAAAATTCCAAAAGAGAAAGAACAGCAATTTCAGTTGTCTTGACCAAACAGGCTTTATCATTAATGGATTTTTACTTCAAAGCCAAAATATAGCTCAAAACTTGTAAACACTTTCTCTGTTTTCATCTCCTTAAAATTACACCACTGCTGTGTTTTCAATTAGTATTTGTGTGGAAGTGAGACTCTATCTGATTGCTTGTGCTCTGTTGTAAGAGGCTATCTTTCTGCTGCTGCCTTTAACAAGGCAAATCCTGAAAAGAGCAAACCCAAAGTTTTTAGACAAAACTTGGAAAAAAAACTGTGAGGACAAACCAGCTGGAAAAAAAATTTATGAGGTCTCTTTATCTGAGTACCTACAACCTCTGACTAACAAACCCTCTCAGAAATTTCACCATACACAGAACACTGTCAAAATCATGCAAATGATTACCCCTCACCCATAATGTTTGTCATATTGAGATAAAACACTGTCCAGCTTTGAACACGGTTACGGCTGAAGCGGCTTCCAAGAACTAAAAAGACTGGTAGTCTCTCTCCAGGTTGAGTGACGATGTCACGTGCCAGGATGGCCACTTTAGGACTGAAGACATATGTGCTCCATGAAAACCCACCATCAGTACTATACCTGTGATTTGATTCAAATGTTACAATCTCATGTGCTTGGTAATGTGAGAACATCAGGGCTCCTTGTCAGCTGTATTGTCTGTCTGTGTATCTCTGTTTATTCATCTGTCTCACCTAACTGTCTGCCTTTCACCCTCTGCCTCCCTGCCTCCAACTGATTATCTGTGTACATGTCTATGTGTGTGCACATGTGTGAAAAGAGTATGACTGTCCTGTTTATCTAGGATCATAGAAAAATTAGGGCACCCAAAACTCTTCTTATATCATAATTATAATATTATAATCAATTAAATCAAAACTGTAGATGCCAGATCCAAAAAAAGTTGTTGCTGCTGATGATACCATAGCAAAATCACAACATAAGGTATTCATATTGTTACCGGTACTTACTTAAGTGACCTTGTGTAACGTCTGTATGGCACAGCAACAATAACTCCTCCATGATCTCCATATGTAAACAAGTACTTCCCTCGTAGAGCCTGATCATACAGGACATCAATAAAGATGTTTCTACATTGCTCTTGATAACATCAAACAATTACTTACTATTGATCATCAAGTAATGTCATATTATGCAGGGCTTGACACCAACGGTAGCCAACTAGCCACAGACTAGTAGAAATTTAGTTTTGACTCGTGGTTTTGGATTTCCACTAGCTAGTGAACAAACTGAAATCGTCGTAACATCTAAGATAATACTAGCTACTTGGCTAGTAAGTTGAAAAGTTAGTGTCGAGCCCTAATAATGGAAGACTACAAATCTAGGAGCATTACATATGAACCATAAACTTAATGGTTGAAAGGAATTTGACACAGATCTTTGGAAATGCCACAAATTTTAAATTATACATTCTTTAATTCAAGTCTTACCCTGTTCCAAATTACACCACCATCCGAAGACACAAACAGATCAGGATATATCTTAAGATTAGTGCTGGCCACACCTAGCATAACATAAATTGAGTATTATATTAAATAAGATGAAGGAACCTAGAATGTCATATATCAGTAGCCCTATTCATTTTTAACTCATCAGAAATTTCCTGGGAAGACATCTTAGAACCAAAGGCAGTCTGTGACTGCCCGTGCCTACTGTTGTAGAGTAAAAGAGAACTGTGGTGTAAAATGCAGAGGGGTTAATAAACAGCTCTTGTTGATGCCAAACTTGTGACAAAAGGAGGACTTGATTAGGGCAGAGTATGTACACTGGGCAATTCAGAGGCTTGGGACCGGGCAAGAAATTAATACGATAGGAACTTGCATTTTGATACATTTTGATACAAAACTTTACCATTTCCTACACTCTGCATATCGTGGCAACGGATATATCTATTCTTCTCCAGTCCGAAAGACTGGCTGTGCCACATTTTTCTTTAATTTCAATCATTTTAAAGCTCATAAAATAATGAACCACAAATTTATTCAAAAATTATTACATACCTAAAGCTAACACCAAACCAGGGGCCGACTTGCTGGAAAGCAAACGTTCTGATGGAGAAACACGATAGACAGCCCCATAGAGTAGATTCACATGAATGGAACAGCCTGGCTACAAAGTCAAAATAGACTTGATCTACTTATTGCTCAATAAATGTTACAAGCAATGTTCTGACAATTATTTACACAGCTGTAGCATTTTTTCCACAACAGTGACTCCACTTTTCCTTAAAAAACGTGAGTCTAACTATAATTTCTCCTCAGGCTCTCAACATCTACCAAACAACTGATGGGCTTTAACATTAACTTTTCCAAAGCAAATGGTGTTGTGATATAATATAAAAATATTTTTAACCATAATTGCAAAAGGAAAATCAAACAATTATTTCTTACTCCACCAGACCTAGTCTAGTGTGCTTACCATTACCATCACATCTCCCCAAACTTCCAACCAATCACACAGCATAATTATCACTATCACAACAAATATAATAATATTTACCAGATAACAATTTATTTTGACGCCACGGTTATCCACAGTTGGAGAACGTATCCGCTGCCACCTTCCACCATTGTTATAAGTGATAAGTGAGAGTAGATGTCTTCTACCTACTGGGCCTGGCGTTAACTGAGTGGCAACATAAACACCCCTTACAGATTTGATTCTATCCACGTCAACAAAAGCATAAGGCACTACAGTTCTACAAAAGGTAAAAACAAAACAAAGTTGATGGTTAGGAAGGGTACAAAATAGTCACTTACATATTAAAAAAATTTGCATCCAATTCAGACTGTAATCCAATTGTCTAATGATTAACAATTAGATTCTCGCTTAGCAGTCATCTCTCAATGGGCTACTTTTTAAATCACTTGTATGATTACAGACCAAATTGACTCCAGTTGCCCTATGTATTTAGCAATGAATTGTGTTCTTACCTAAGCCATGCAGATGAAACATCAGTATACGGATTGTGATACAGAACTCTTGGTAAGGACAACTGGTACTTGACACCAGATGAATCAGACTGATACATATTTGAAAGATTTCTCAAGTGGTTGATGACTACAAAAACCTGATCTTCCACCACATCAAACACAAAAAAGTCCTACAAAACCACAAACAAATGGGTACATCAAATGGTTGAATGGTGCTTCCTTTATTTTTTTTGATGCATCCATGTCTATCAATAAATATTTTCTCATACACATAAAATAAAATTCAAATGAAGAACTTATAAAATCCATTCTATAACTTGGTTAAATGTGACAACCATTACTGTGGCAGGTTAATTGAAACCCTTTCCAAAGTTTGAAGGAACAAAGTGTATTGTTGCAAGTATTCTCTGAGCAATTCTTTCATTTTCCCACTAAGTACCTTGGCATAACATTTTGATTCTAACTTAACATGGAAAAAGTCACTAATGAGCTTTGTTTGAAACTGTCCAAAACTGTAGGTATCTTGTCTAAAGTGAGACACTTTGTTAACAAACATATTCTTGTCATGCTTTATTACTCCCTTATCTATCCATTCCTCACTTATGGCGTCCATGTCTGGGGTTTAACCTTTCCCTCATTTCTAACACAATTATTTATTATCCAAAAAGGATGGAAAGGGAACTGTCAAAGTGAAGTCTTCTGCCCAAAATACACAACTCCTCTCCCCCCAAATTGAACCTGGACTTCTCAATGTGGAATACTGTGTACAAACAACTACATGATTATAACTCTATACAATCACAACAATAAACAGAATCAAAATGATTATAAAGATGACAAGATTGCGCCCTAAAATCATAGGCAAGATTTGCAACATGAAGTGATACTCTCAAAAATCAATAATTCAACAACTGTTATTAGCACCTGATCATGACAGCAATATCACATATCATCAATACTGTAACAAGAAGCCTTTCACTCACTCTGCTTTCCTCATTAGTTGGGAATTTTGCCACTTTAAAGAACCCACGTTTCTTAGAAACTTTCAAGACAGAATGTTTATCCTTTGGTCTCTATAATGGAATAAAGTAAACTTACAATTAATGGTGACTTTGCCATATTTGAGACAAGGACTCTTGGACCGACACTTATTCAGTTTCCTACATAAATATGAAAAGCTTTTCAGTGTGTAAATTAAAGTTACTGTAACATTTAGATTGATTGATAGTAATTAAGTCCATGCATTAAGAGATATGAATGGGTGACTTGACTGTGGATGAAAAAGGGTGATTTATCAGGAATTTTATTTAACGTATGGATAGCAGGGCTTAATTGCGCCTGTATCGGGCACATTTGCCAATAAAGATTTCACTTCTGTAAGTAAAATTTCTGCATTGGTAGCGATTTTGTGACCATTTTACAGCCTAGCTTATAAATAAATTATATTTAACAGCCTTATGTCATACTTGTTACTGGTTGCTGCAGTTTTATCAAAAAATCCTGTGAAATTCAAGTTAAATATTGCACGACTTTTATCGTTGATTTCTTGCTGAGAAACATCACGAGTGCACTATTTCAGGAACTAAGTTGTGCAACACACATGAAATATCTAAGCAATCTTCGTTTCTAATTTGGGTTGTTTACTTTTGCGACTAAAATTTTTGAACTTGTGACTAAATTTGAGGAATTACTTCCAAATTGTGACCAAGAATTTTTTTAATTTGAAGCCCTGGATGGTAAAATAAAAATGACAATGTTATATAACCTACTGTAGCCACACAAAGGGAACAAAGAAACCATTCAGTTTAATGGGATTGATCTTCGAGTTACCAAAAATTGCTTAATATACCCTTAATAGTTATTTTCTTTCATGCAAAAACTTACTTACCAATTTGGTGGTATAGAACTGATAATTTTTCATCATCTCAAATTCATCCACATCTGTTGCAATGTTGATCGGTTCTTTTTTGCTTTCTATGTACATTTTGATAACTTTGGTTCTGTTATCCTTAGTATTTCCCGTAACTGGAAGTGAATCAACAGATAAGCGTCTGACATGAAATTCAAATAAAAATATAACTTATTGGTTCTGATCAATATATGTTATTTTCACAACTGAATCTGATAAAGTTGAGCCATAAGATAGAATTAAGTTAAGAATATATTAAATTCAGTTATATAAATTGAAAGAGAGAACTTGGGTTTAGAAAGGCAGCATTATGTAACTCAGTGTACATATTACCAAGGTGAAGCACGAGTGTATAATTCTTGATATGGTTCAAGAAGAAGCCCGAGGAAGAATAAGACTACACTAAATAATTGACTTCACCAGTAATTTAATGCTTAATCATAATAACAATCTTTTATTAGGAAGCTCCATCACAATAGTGGTTTACATAGAGGTCCTAAATACTAGATGTGTATTATATAAAAATACAATTAAAATTATATAAAAATTTGAGCTAAAATCGAAATATAAAAATGATTAGAACATATAAACTGCAAAGATTAATTTAAAAAAAAAAAACTTGATTATAAAAAGCAGAAAGAGACACTTCTCAAAAATTGGCAAGCTTACTGAGTTTCTTACAGTTCTCTCTAACTCATTAAAGTCTTTGAAAAAGTGATACTGTGAACCATGTTTTCCCCAATTATATTTGATTTTGGGGAGCTTTATAGTATTGTTATTGCACGTATTGTAGGAGTGCATATCACTCTTTCTTACAATATACAGTATCATTCAAACCATACTCACTTCGTTCTTGCAGAGACTTTTGAAATTTCTCAACAAAAATAACATCTGGTAAATCAATATTTTCCACTCCCCTGTTTAAACAAAAACTGAAGTTAATAACTGTTGGCCATATCCAAGATACACCTCTCCTCCGGCTTCCTCCTCCAGTAGTATAAGAGAGAGAGCGTGAATAGGTACACTGGAACCTCGATTTAACCAAGTGCCAAGGGACTGGAGAAATTGGTTTGTGATATCGAGGGTTTGTTATATTGAGGTTCTGTGGCAAACATTTTACTGTATCTTAAGCCAGGCGCAAACTGAAGTATCACCTGTTGTACCGAGGACTTTATCATACAGAGGTTCGTTAAATCGAGGTTCCACTGTACTGGTTCCATACTTACCAATTGAATGACTTAACATCTCCTTCTCGTTCAGCAAAGGATTTTCCCTTGTTTGATGACACATACAGCTGTCAAAGATGTTTCAAAAGACAAACAATTACAATGTGAGCTTTCAATGTGCCATACAAAAGTACAAAAAAGGAAACAGAAAGAAATTAATCTCTTTATTACACACTATAACATCAGACTAGAACTGGACAGCTAAAAGCAAACAATGCTTTTGATATGCACATTCAGTACGCTTTCTAACTTCTTTTCAAGTTTGAATTTTCCTCTTTTTTAGGCATAACCCAAAACTCAACTTAAAAATCTTATTTCAAAAGCTGCCTTGGAGTGAAAAAACATTTACTTCAAAATACAAAATATCCTTAGACTTTCCAATTCATACAAATCTTCATAAGGTAGAGGGAAAATTACTAAATGGCGACTGGCTAAGACAAAGAACATTTTTCATTAATTTTGCTAATTGCCCTGGGTAAAATTATGTGAAATTGAAAACATTGTAAAAGGCCTTAACTTTCCCTAAAAGCATTAGAAATATAATTTCATAGATGGCAAATGTCTTTTTAGCAGGGCTAGCTTCTTTATTTTGGCATTGTTTTTCAGAAATAATACATTCAGCTAATTTGTGTTTTACAGTTCACTGATTCAGTTTCCTCTTAAAATCAAGGACTAATATCACTTGTCTTTTCATACATCATATTGATCCTTGATTTTATTCTGCTCCATGAGTCAGAGATTACACAGACAAACAGATATCAAAAAATCAATAAACTCCTTTAAGATAAAACATATCATTATTATCAATATCTGTTGAAGCATAAAACCAGATACTGGTCACAGCTCCTCAATAACTGAATAACAATCTCAGATATCATTAAAGTAGTGAGCTCACAATTGGTTATAAAATTCAAATAATGCCGATAACATTATACTGTACCTTCTCAGTCGTGTTATCATATCCCATGACATAATTCGAGTTCCATGGATGAAAAGTGATATATGATGGCACCCAAGAGATTTTGTAGTTTTTAAATGTTTGTAAGTCATCTGTTCTGTGGAGAACCTTGTTTGCAACATCTGCAAAAATAGCCTGGTGGTAGAATTGGAAAAAAAAGTTAACTAATTAGCAATGCAAAGAGATAATTCCATTGTTTATACATATCTGTTCAAATATAATTATTTTTCCTTATAAAATTGAATTTAAAAACATGTCCTCTGTGTGCTTCAATCTTCACATTGACTAGCCACATCAAATCAAAACATCAGACCAGAACAATCAAACGTTACTTGTCTGTTCATATCAGCTCCAACTCATTAATTTTCATCATTTCAGGAAGCTGGTTAGGTATCCTAATATCTATAATTGTTTCTTATGCTTGTAAATCTCTTGGAAAGTTGTCAAGGGTACAATAAATCATGGTGTTCTTGTTGAGGCATTTTCAAATACACAATGAAATACTGTGCACAGAGACAAAAAAGCAAGGCACCTGCATTCAAATTGTTCTCCTGTTACTATCACGTAACAAATTTAGTGAAACTATTACCTTGTAAGATTTCACAAAAAGCAAAGAGGACATGAATTTTGATTATTCATTGAAATTTTATTCATCTCACAACACATTTCAATTCAAGCCTTAGCAAACATTTAAGAACTTTCAAGAATTCACCTTGACTAAAGTGAAAAATGTTTCTGTGTTTGCTTCCATCAAGCTATCAGCAGTTGCAAGCCAGCTCTTAGCTTGTACCTGAGAAAATTGCTATCATTAAACTCATCTCAGCCTCATAACCAGAGACAGGCGTGGCCGAGTGGTCAGCGTGTCGGACTCGCAATCCGTCGCTCCCGGGTTCGAGTCCCGCCCTGACCACTACCTGAATTTGTTTCACAGTGGCTCCGAGTTCAAATCCTCGGCCATGCTTGTAAATAGCCAACTGGTTTGCCTCCAGCCACTTGGGATTCTTAACAATGTTATGTTCAATTTGAATTCTTTGTTTATAGCCCACAATGTAAACTACTGGGTTACCAGTAATTGTGTTAGCTATTAAAGTTAATTTTCTTTTTTTTTTTATAACCGGTGCTAAGATAACAGAAGCTGAACCTGTAGCTTACAGTTCTTGTTGATGCTATGTCTAGAAAATTTCGAAATCGCGCTCGGTTGTGGAGACTCAAAGAGCTGATTGAGGTGGGTGTTTACAAAATCAGGATCAGATAGGATTGACAAAACCGGGACAGGATCGGACCGGATTAACAAATCCTGGATCAGATTGCATCCGATTGACAAAACCCGGACCAGATTCGAAAAAAATTGGAATACAGGTTGTAGAATTTCAAACAAATTCAATCAATTTTAGAGCAAGAGCGTACCTCATATTGGAGCTATCCGCTAGCCATACACAGTGTGAGTGCTAAGCCTCACGGGAGTTACAGGTGATGATGTAACAACACCTGCTAAGCAAGTGTTGGTCAACTGAGGCTGCTATGATTTGACCGTAGTTGATTGTAGTTGAAAATGAATATCCACAGACGTTCTAAAGCTCACAATACAAGATGTATAGTTGTTTTACGAGCGGACACGACCGTGATGGGAAAGTGGTGGTGTGTTACAATGCAAGTGGCGTATTGTGAAAGCGTTGCGAAAAGCAGTGTTACATTACAGTGTCGACCGTCAATTTTGAGTGCTCTATAAAACAGTGTCTGGCGTTCTATCAAAATGTTCATTATGATAATGATAATCTTTAATAATTGCTCCTAAAAAGGCTTTTCGGTAACTATTTACAATGATAGGTGAAGTAAGTTATAATAATGTTTAAATTTTAAAAAAACTATGTACAGTGTGCGAGGCTACAAATGTGTTTCTTACGGCATAATTATGTATAGTTTTCAAAATAATAAAGTATGTGAACTTTACGTGGTATAAATCATTCTTGAAGAGACAACATCATGATACAGCATGAATAAAAGAATATACAAAATTTTCTATATTTCTTTATGCCTGTTTAGGCAAAACAACCATACCTTTAGTGCAGTGAGTTGGGGGCACCTGTGGAATATCTTATACAAAAAAGAATCATTACAACTTTGCTTCACTGAGCTGTGAAAAAAGGTAGTCGTATTTCTATACAAAAACTTGATCATGAGATGTTACGTGACTACTTTGGTTGGAAATTTATGGTGATCCGATTTTTTTCGGATCCAGTCTGGGTTCTGTCAATTGGATGCAATCCGATCCAGGTTTTGTTAATCCAGTCCGATCTGTTCCTGGTTTTGTCAATCCGATCCGACCCGATCTGGTCCAGATTTTGTAAATGCCAGATTGAGGTTTGTGATCAAGCGAGTGAGCAAGCAAGGTTTGACTAGGAAAATTAATAAAAATACATGAGAAGAAGGGCCGAGCGATGATAAACCTACAAGACAGAATTTAAAGACTTACAAATGTTTTCCTGACTGTAGCAATGGCGCCGAAGCTTAAGTTAAGAGTGTAAGATTGGCAACGAAACCTTCAGGCTAGAGAATACATTGAAAAAATTAGCACGCTAACAAACTGTAGTGTTTAAATAGTTCTAAAAGACATGCATAAATGATAAGCTAACACAAAAATTTGCACGAGGAATCCTACAGAACCTTGCAGCTCACGAAATTCATCCTTGGTTAAAAAATTATTAGTGCTAAAATCAAAATTCCAGAAAATTCTACCCCTCTTTATGAGCATAACTAACACATCAAAATTAATGCAGTGAATAAATACAAATTTCTCCAAGATTAACATGCTTCAACAAAGTTTCAACTTGACTGACAAGCAACTGCCAGCATGCTTTTTTCCTTCCTTTCTTTCTTTCATTGGGGAGATATTTCAATACATCCTTTTCCATAGCACCTTTAGGGCCATTTGCCAAAAACAGAAGAGACAATGTTGGCAGAGAATTATCATTTGAACACTTAGTCAAGAGCACACAAAATTGAAAGCAATTTTAAGTGGTATAAATCATTCTTGAAGAGACAACATCATGATACAGCATGAATAAAAGAATATACAAAGTCATTAAGGCAGAATGATGAAAGATATCATTGCTGTTCACATACAAATGATAGCCAAGCTGATATTCCAGCTGGCACATGGCAAAGATAAACTCTTTATTATGTAATATGGCTCCATATTGTCTACCGCCAAACTTTCCCTTTTGGACTGCACACATAATTATATTTGTTAGACATCATGCCAATCTGATTTCATTGATTTAAATTTTAAGATTCCCAGAGCCAACAGTGGGTCTAGAAAAACAGCAAAAAATTATTATTTCTGGCCCTATTGTGGTTTGAAAGGTTAAATATTTACCTAAAGGATATAATCTTCGATAAATGACAACAGTTGCACCCATTGAAATGATTGGAGGTAGTCATACATTAAAGATAATCAGGAAATTTTATGAATATAATTACTTGTACTGACTTTCAAAAAATGGAATTTAAAATTGAAGGCGACCTTAACTTGCCATGCTACTGATAAAACTCTGAAAACTGTTTAAATGCACTAAAGACAAAGGCATTTGTTGCCTTGAATAATATTCAATTTCATTATAAAACTGTCAAACGCACATCCATTTATCATCAAAAAAAAGGTACGCGCATTTGATCTAAAGGGAGAGGCTTGATAAAATAAAAGCGGTACGGTTCTGGCGAGTACTTGAAAACAATATTCATTCTAATTAATTATGCAAACAGCAACCACATCATGTCCAACTGTTAAGATCATTTAAAAAACACAAGGGAAATTGTGGTTTTGGTGGACTCCAACGCCTTCCTCGTATCCTTAAACTACCGTTTTAAACACTTCCCTAGCTCATGAACTGAAGTGAGATAAAAACATTGAGGCTGTTCATAATGCCAACGGCATGGGAGAATTAGGCACACAAACTGCGCGATGTCGAACAATTGTCTATTGCGTTTTAGTGACAAAATAAATAGCGTCAATTATAAAAGAGTTCCCCATCAAATTATCACAAAAGAGGGGAAACATCTGCATAAAAAAAGACCCTCGCTGAAAAATATCCCTGCTGAAGGAAAGATTAATGAAACGACGCAATCAAACCGGTACATAAAGCACGTACACTTACACATATTCGACCATCTACTTGAAATTATTTCATAGTTCAAATGACATGTAAAAAGTACACTTGACGTGACAAACACGCGCAAAAACAAAACACAAAAACGAACAGTCTACGGATCGCAGCAATGCGCAAACAAATCGCAGTTCCATTGACACCTCATAGCAAACGTAAGTCTGGCCTACGTAAGTGCTGGGGACACGTGGTCAGACCACAACAAAGTTTACCAACACTATCATAATATGAACAAAACACGGGATATTATAAAAGTGAAAATCGTTTCCCTCACCAAGGTAGGTTCAACTTTGCTGAAATATATCTGGTCAATCACAGCCGTTAAATTGTTCGCGTTTGTAAATTCTGCCTTCGTAAAGTTCCTTCCATAATTGGTCGACACGTACACTGGGTTCGAAGTTTTACCTGGAGGCTTTGGTTTTTTGGCAAGCAAAAATACAAAGTGTTCCTGTTTCTTACTCTCAGGCCAATACATATACATCTCGTCGTAGGAACCTAGAGGTTGCTGAAAGGAAAAGTAAAAAAAAAAAAAAAATGAAGGATGAACGCGTCGACTTAATTTAAATATGCGAACAGTGGTTTATTGGGAGAATGCCCAGAGCAAGCGGCTTATCAGCAACGTAAAGCGGTCAGAAATCATATAATCAAAGTTTAAACTCACGTTCGTAGTATCTATTCCAGGCGGTGAATCCCGACGAAAGCGGCTTCTGATGTGTTGTTCTTCCAAGTCATGACTGGTTTCTACAAATAGTTCATCACTAGCTTGCCGCCGTATTATGCGCACTCCTTCTGGTAAAGTCAGTGACGATGTACCTTGCTTGAAAAGATTCCTTGGCGCTCTGAACGGGCGAATACAGCTTACAAGAGCTGGTAGTAATGCAATGAAGACGAGACAACAGAGAATTTGCCGACGGCAAGCCATTTTGACTGTTGAGTCACCCTCCTAATAACAACAATAGTTTCAAGGGCTCAAAGGAGATCGAGGCACGCTGCAGGGGGTATAGAGGTTGACAAGTCGCCTCCTAATTACTCGGCTGAGACTTATTGTCTGTTGTCGCCAATCGCGAAAGTAGAGACTGTTTCAGTATGGGTCGTCACTCATGCGCAGCTCAAGAACATTCTGAGCGAGCTGAAAACAGGAACTCCAACGGTCCTTTTGATAATAAAACCAAACCGGAAGTTGGAATCATTAAAACGGAAGCTAGGACCCTAAAAACCTCACGTCCACAGCAAATTCTATCCCTTAGGTGTCAGGAGAAGAGTTTATTTCTAATCCTGTAATTCTACGAGCAACAAAAGTTGTTTTTTGTAGTGTGACTTCATTCTAATGGAGAAAATCTATCACTCTTCAAATAGAAGTGACATTTGCATTAAAGACAATTTCTTCGTTTCTCTAGTGTAGTCTAGCGAGCCAATTTTCGTGTAATGGGGAAGGATTAAGATCGAGATTTTAATCCATATTTCCTTTTCGTTTTCGGTTTAAAAAAGCGATGTTTTACCTTTCCTATAGAAATCAATATTCTATATACATTCCCTTCCAATTTTAGTGTTATCGCTGACTCCGCTATCAAGATCGATGTCCCGCTGTTCCGAACCGTTTTGCGCGAAGAGCTTTTGGGATTACAGCAGTTTACTTTACGAAATGAAACGAAATTGTACTATTTTGCGAAACGAAACGAAACGAAACGAAATTTTGCGAAATGGCGTTTTTTCGCCTTTATTTAGCCTTTATTCTTGGCCTTTATTCTTCGTCCGAAACAAAATGTTTCCACCAATAAAATGATCAATATTTTTAAGAGCCTGCTCGCCTCTCATTTTATTGACCATAGTAGAATTCGTTTCGCAAAGTAGTAATTTTGACAGAATTACTATTTTGCGAAATGGCGTTTTTTCACCTTTATTCAGCAAATATGTCCTCTTCGTCCGAAACAAAATGTTTCCACCAATAAAAAGGTCAATGTCTCTAAGAGCCTGGTCACCTCTCATTTTATTGACCATAACAGAACTCGTTTCGCAAAGTAGTAATTTTGACAGAATTACTATTTTGCGAAATGGCGTTTTTTCACCTTTATTCAGCAAATATGTCCTCTTCGTCCGAAACAAAATGTTTCCACCAATAAAAAGGTCAATGTCTCTAAGAGCCTGGTCACCTCTCATTTTATTGACCATAACAGAACTCGTTTCGCAAAGTAGTAATTTTGACAGAATTACTATTTTGCGAAATGGCGTTTTTTCCGAANTGCCAGGACTTCCCCGGACAACCGCTGTCTCAACCCCTTCACTGCACCCTCTTCCACAACCAAATCTTATAGCCTTGTTGCCAATATCAAGCTCCACAGCTCAACCAACGCGGCCCACTGAATCTGCGTTATCGAGCACATCCTGCTCAGCAGATGTTAAAATGATCAATCCAGCTCATGCACAGCTGTTCTCAGGGGCCACTCCGCCCAATTTGGAGCCAACTGCGCCTCATCCGGTCAGCTTTGAGTCCGCTTGTCACCACGTGGCGAAAAACGTCTACGTCTAAGGATACATAGCGAGAAGCAAGAAGCACAATTAGTTTGGAAATATTTTATTTCATCAAGTAAATCATTTGTACATATGTTCGTGCATGTATGATATCAATGCACTTAATGACATTCCTAGAAAATCAAAAATGATCATACATGCTCCTTTCTTTCTGCAAAGAAACTTTTCGATTAAAGGGAAAATACTTATCTCGCACCTTACATTTTTGTTTTCTTTCCAGTTTTACGGCGGTGGTGTCAAATGAAACAACATTTCATTCTATAGTAAGTTCGCCTCTATACAAAAACTTTGTTCTGGTTCGAACGGCTCTCTCTGATTTTGCATGGTCGACTCTCTTGTGGTGGCATTTTCAGAGTTTCAAACGAGGTATTAAACAAGTCAGGCCAACTTTAAGTTCCTTCCTCAAGAATTTGTAGCAAATGTTGGTATTAAATACTTCTGTTACTACTATCCAAATCCAAAAAGGAGGGGTTTGGTACACTGATTTACTCAGTGAAGGTTTTGATCTCTAATTCTGTTAAGAACCGCGTCAGAAAACTCTCGATGCTTTGGGAACGATCTAGAAAAAGGACCAGCAAAATGTCTAGAGTTATAAATTACCCGAGGGTATTGATAGATGTAGTGAGATATTGGGGTAACAGATGCTGTTATCCCAGGGAGAAAATTTGCAGGAGAAAATCCCACGTGGTTCCGTGTGGTAACCTGTAGATGTGGATTTGATGAAAGAGGATATGGTGGAATGAAAAAGGAGTTGGATTCTCGATGCGGATGGTTGTGCACGTTTTGTTGATAAGGGCCCCAGCTGCCAGCTGCTGCAAGTCGAACTTTAAAGATATTCGCTGCAGGTCTCTGATTAAGATAATATTGAGGCTGCCACGCCGTACTGTAAGAGGCAGGAGGTTGTAGCCAACCCGTGACTGCGGAATTTGAGACAAAGGGGAAAAAAGCTGGAGTTGATACAGGAGTTCTGCCGGAATATCCCTGAGAATAAATGAGCCAGGGAGGCGCCGTGTGGCTGAGTGTTCTGTAGTACGCATGCGCGGGAGCTTGATAATGATGACGACGACGATGACGATAATGAGTGTGTCTTGGATGATGGCGATAGTAAAGGGGATAACTGGGTTCGTAGTCATCGTCATAGTCCGGTAGGTGATGAGATCTCCATCTTTCCCTGTCTGTAAGGATATAAAATAATTTTGATTTGTAGTCAAAGCTACCCAAAGCAATTCAAAGTAATCTAGGACTGGGTTTGCTCCATTGCACTCTGTGATCAAGAAACCTCTAAGTTAATCAGATGCAGACAAAAAGCAGTTACGACTTCGTCATCGACTTTTCCCTGCGTTTTAGGTCATTTACATAACTTAACTTTAAGTTCATTACCATGTTTTCCGTAATATTGCCTTGGCGATTCCCAGTCCCAATCTGCGTCCATATCACTGTCTATACCATCATCAAACCCAGGCCTTTCATGCCGTGGCCCGTAATCCCCATCATCCCCTGCTTCGTCGTCGAATAACTTTTCGTGATCACGTGCCTCCTCTGAAAATTCCTCGTCGTCGGAAGCTTCACCGTCGTCATCGTAATCATCGTCATCGTAATCATTGGGACGGAACGACTTTTTAACATTGTTACTTTTACTCTTCAATTTGTGAGCGCATATTCCCTTGAAGAGCTGATTACAATCTCGTGAATAGTTCAAAGTCTCGTTCCTGTTTGTGAGGTTAATTCCCGTGTTTCTTACAACTTGGTCATCGCCATTCAGTTTGAAAAATTTTAGCAGTGATGCTTCCTGTTGCTCAGTAGTTGACCCTATACGTCACATTCAAGAGAAAAAACGTCATTTTGATCAGACAATGCCCAAACAGAAACGATATCTTGTTGTTTCCTCGGAAAGAATATGACAAAGAGAAAGAGCAATTTGAAAACACCTTAAAAAGGAAAAAGAATAATCGTAAGCAACATTTTCTTTGAGTGTTAGAAGTATTCCGTATTTTACTCATCTCAGCCTCATGATTTTGCTGACTGAGACGCCACATCTTTTCAACCAACTGAATCAGATGCAAGGCCTACAACTTAGTCACGTGCGCCGCGTTTTCCCGCGCCTGACCAGTTTCTTCTTTTAACTTGAATTTTCGTTAGTACCACGAGTATGATGTTCACCTTTCACTTGATCAACTGTTGCACTGTTTCTTTGAAATTGGTTTGACGACACTCAACTGAAAAGCGCTCCACTTCAAATGTAAGCAATGACTAATTTTCGCAATTTTAGAAGCAGAAGAATATATATTTTTAGTATATACTAAAACAGTGGATAGCGTTGAAGGCGTGCTCTGATTGGCTAGTCAAACTCCGAATATCCTTTGCTATTTACCTCCGAGTAACTCGAGAAAAAATGGCGTCCCGGTTTCCATCCGTGACAAGCGAAGAAATCACTCAAATTAACGACGGTGGTGTATATTATCTCACTGTTTTAGTACATACTAAAACAACTATTCACCTCAGTGTCGGTGGTTAGCGGTGGATATTTACCGAGCCGCTTCGCGGCTCGGTAAATATCCACCACTAACCACCTCTACTTCGGTGAATAGTTGTTAAATATTTGCGACCGACACAAGCACGTATCGGTAACAAACTATCACGACTTCTCTGCGGTAGATGTTATTTTGATACTGTTTAATCAGCAATCATCTCAAGAAGTAATGTCTTAATTGTTCAGTTACAACTTACTGCAAAGTGGCCAGGCTGTTAGGGAGTGTATTTTTGAGCTGTTTTTGTCAATTTGGGAGACTACACAAGGAAAAGTCAGATGTTACAAGGTCCGAGTGTTTGACATTTCCTTCACTGGCAACAATCTAAATTTCTCAGTCTTGCTTGAAAGTCGACAGATGTATAGCGGTAAATCTATTCCTATTGAAATGTTGCTCTCATCCGCTACGGTAAATGTTCTAATGATTATGTGACCCTAATAATTTTACTGTTGTTCGGCGATAAAAACACGTTTGTTTAAATCTTAAGGACTTTTTACTGTCTAAGTATGAAACACCCATATATAATACTTCAGGGAAGATAGTTTACAAACCTTTGTCTAGAGCTTTACAGCAAAACAAAAATTGGCAAATCAAAGCTAAAAGCGGGTACCAGAGACGCATTGTTCGTCTTTCATTTCGGTGTAACGTTTGGTTTGTTCTCAGTCAGTTCTCTCTGCATCGTGGCAATGACCGTGCGATCCAATTACTTCGCCTCTTCGTTTTCGTGTAAAATCGTGATTTACGTTTATGTGATATTTGATTACGTCCGAGTATCACAACACAACCACTTAATTAAAACAAGGAACAATAATAACCTATAAATAATTAATCGTCATCTACGTGCTCTGATGACCAGTGCTCTATTCCCTGTCGAGTCATTTTTTCTGTCGCATAGACCTGGTACTTGTTCGACAAGTGATGAACACAAGCAAATCAGGAAAAAGAAAAGAAAAACAAACCCAAATTTTGGAAATTTGAATTCCACCAATGACAAGATGTAATTCAGTAAATTGCAAATAATGATTACAGACTTGTTTCTTTGTTATTTCAATTTTTTAAAAACAAAGTAAGTGTTTAACTAAATTGGGCTACCAATTAAGGTGTAAGCACAAAAAAAAAGAATGCAATTAATGTGGGTTTGTATGGCATCACAAAGGTGCAGAGTGGCTCCTAAAAATTCCTGCAGAAAAAAAAGACCTGATTGTCCCAGGAAAATTTGATTAACGAGAGAAGAGGCAAATGATGTAATGGATTTATTGTTATTTAAAAGACAAAAACCCAGTTTGAAGCTTGTCAAAGAAATACCCTCAGCCATAAAGCCACTTAGATATCAGACAATGCCCTACTAAGTACTAAGCTCAACTACTATTGGACTTAATCCATAATTTCATAAACTGCATAAAGCTCAAACAGCTATAATATAACCTGTTAAAAATGGGAGTGATAGAAAATCAGTTTAAAGTAGCCCCCCTCCTCCTTGTTACACCACCTTGCAATGGCACCTTATTTAATCTTTGAATCACCTTTCTAATGAACCTGCAGTCCTTAAGCTATAGTTAAGTGGAACCTGCTTTCCTGGGAAAGTTACAAATATTAAACTTGTCTCCTGAATAGAAATCTCCATCAATGGATGGAAAACATTAAATAGAGCGTCTATAAATGACACACCCACTGGACTAGAAAAAGTTTCCCTTGAATTGAGGTGTACCTTCAACAAAGATAACTTCACTGAGAAATAATTATCGGAGAATTTTTTTATAAGAACCAAAGTCTATGTTCCTTGATTAGACGTGTCTCAAAAAGAGATTCCATAGCATCCCAGGTTCAATAAATTTGTCTCCATAACTTCATTTGTCTATTTTACATGACAACTTGGTGATGTAGGATAAACAGAAGGAAGGCCTTAACAAAGAGGATCCCAAACTGCAATCTTTCTGGTAGTACTTTCTGGTTTCTGTTTTTGATTATAATTGCCTTATTTTATTGACAAAGAGGGATGGGATTATCACATGCTCCTTACAGCCCCCATAAGCTACACCCTAAGCTACACCTTTCTCACATCTGCACCGTTCTGCATTATAAGCAGGGAAATTGTTTAGAACGCATTTTCTATTTAATTTTTATCAGCATTTCAGAGTCTTCTGTTTAATAAGTAGCTATAAAGTGTGGTAAGAAAAAAAAACTTACTGGTATCTATGAAAAATATATTATATATCTTGACATAAAAAAACCTAACTATCCCAAACACAGTTAGTAGTATCATCCCAAAAAAATAATTGGTGTCTACACTAAAAAAAATTGAAACATAAAAAATAGCATTAAGGAGAGTGTCAGTACTGATAATGGTTACTCAATTTTCCTTATGATATTTACACAGAGGATAAATAGTATTTTTGTTGTTCTTGTGATACTCATGTCCTCATCAATGCTGAACCAAATCCAAATCCTTTGGGGGCAAAGTTCTTTTCATAGCACGCTAAAGAAAATGAAAGTACCACATAATGATGAGGTCAGTCAAACTTGTCTACTGGTACATATGAACACTGGGGAGACATTTCAGCAGAGAGGAATCTAGCTCAAGAGGGTCTTAGGCAATGCTAAAAATTATAGATACCAGTATACTGACAGGAAACCAATAAAAATACTAAAGGACTAGCATTACTCCCAGCCATTTAATGCCAAACAAACTGACATAAACTCCCAGAGCAATGAGAAAGGGGTCTTGTGTGCCTTATCCTCTCTCACTCCAACTCTTGCTGGAAGCTAATTTACTCTTGACTAGGTAACAAACTAGACATGCATGGGCAGAACACAAAATAACTGAGCCATTTATACCTCTGCAGTATATTTCTTCCTCATGGTCTCTCATGGTAGTTGGGGTCAAACCCTTGTTACATGTTGCACACTTGAAACACAACTTGTGAAAAACCTGTTTACAAGAAGTTTAGAACATAAATCATGATAACATAATTTTTATGTAATATTTAGAGAGAGAAAAAAATTTCATCTTACTATGGTAAACAAGAGGTATTACAATAAAAATTTAAATTATAAGAAAATTTAAATCATAATCAATTATAAGAGGTCATTGATCAATCCCCATCATTAAAGTAACCAGCAATTAAATTGTCCTAACAATTTTCAGGTATCGGCAAACAAACAGGTCATGAGAAGCTAGAAATCATCTTGCCAAAGTTTTTATATGTTGGAAGGGGCAAAGTATTTAAAGAAGATACTCTGCATGAAAATCAGAATTATGTGCTTTACAGAAATCTGACCTTCTCAGGGTACTTAAAACAACCTTGACTTACTTTACCAACTGCTCGAACCTTTTCAGCATCATACACAACTTGATTGCATCTTGGACAAAGTTTCCCCTGTCCTGAATGACAATAATTCATGGGGGCAGTTTTTGGAGCTGTGGAAACAGTCTCTCCTGCCTTACCAGTGTCAGTACTAAGCACACCACTGCCAACCCCATAACCATAACCCTTTGGACCAAATGATCTGGTGTGACAACTGGCACAGTACAGCTCACCTATAAACAACAAAAATATAGCACTGAATCTTGCAAGTGGTTCATTATCTACTGAGGGTAATCCTACTTTCCACATTATTAAGCATCTGAGCATATTCATACTCCATCTGTACGGGTACAGGTCTATCACATCAAAATTGCTTACATTACTTAGTTTCCTGACAGTTTCATGGTACCTATTGCTACCTTTGAATGGAAAAGGGAACTACAAGAATAGCACCCTGCTAGAAAAAAAACAACAATAATAATGCTACAATGACTTAGCCAAGGCTCCTACTGAAAACTTTGGACTCTAGGTGCTTATCACTTGGTAATCAGGTCCTGCACATAACTATTTCTGTCCCCCTTTGAAATGATAATTTAACTGTAGAGAGAAGACCTAGGTTTGTTCAAAAGTAAGCTGTGGGTAGAGCCAGCTGAAAAAAATATTGCAACCTACAAATAGAGAAGGAAATTAACTCAAGATAGCAAAAACTTCAAGCATTTAACACTTTCTTACCATCTTTATCCCGCATGGTTGAACTGTTCACAGTTTTGTTACAAGCCACACACTTAAAACACTGCTTATGCCATTTCTTTCCACAACCAAATACTTGTTCAGCAAAGTACACAGTCTTTCCACATCTTGCACATTTGGCATTTGTTTGCCCGAGATTCAAAGAGGCCTTCCTGTTACCTGAACTCAAATTGTTCATCCTCTATATGATGCTGACTTGACTGATAAAATGATAAAAAATCATTTACCATAGTAATCCATCAATTCTGTAGCAATGACAGAAGTGATACCTCCACTATAACAGGAAAATAAATCAGTAAAACTGCTCAGTAATTTAAAATTCACACCAAATTCATTGTTGAAGTAAAAATATTGGCCACACTTCCTCCCGACCGTCACAACAAGTTTTTGTGAGGATGTCATTTTACATTTCAGCGTGTATGACAAATTCTTAGCATACCACACAACCATTTCAAAAGGACCTCTCAAGTACTAATAGCCCAAAAGTGAAACTGATCACGACACCTAATACATAGTAATATATTGAATATGAGGTTGTTATATTGTTCATCATAATTATCTTACTGCCAAATTAAAAAATTCCTTAATTTGTTCAATTAGAATAAAATGACAATCTTTGTCTTGTATTCTGTATCCGTTATTAGTAAAAAGATCCGCATGAGGTACAAAATTTCTCCTCAATGTCAAAGCAGTTGTTATGATATTCAATCTCATCTGTCTAAAAGGCAAAAAAGATAATGCGAGGAAGCATTTCTTCAGAATGTAAAAATAAAGACATCTCCCAATAATTTCACACGAAAAGCTGTTCAGATTCCTTTTGCTTAAGAGGAGCATTCCTTCACGAAATAATTGCAAATTAGTCAACCACAGCTAAATGATAAGCGAGGCGACACATACTGACGGTAAAGATAACCAGTGAAGCTTTCTATGAAAGTTCATTAACACAAAACAAATCGGAACCACTTTTGCAGACTAACCCTCCAGCAAACTTTTACTGATCGTCTTTGATCTCAACTCTTCAACGAATTCCAAACATTGACTTTTCAAAGTTTTCCGAGATATTTGAGTTGGTTAACCTGCACTTCATGAATTAACCCTTGAGTCGAAGACGTGATTCTAGAAAATTTAATTACACCTGAATTAATACGCACATCATGTTCTCCTATATACCGTATTCTTTGAAACTCACCTGAACACTGATGCTATTTCTCTTGAACTAACTTTCCTTGAGGTAACTGGAACAGCTAAGCGACAAAGCATTTCTTTTGCATAATAAAAACACTCGATGACTCAATACCTTTCCCGCATAATAGCTAAGAACAATTGGTCGCTTTCGAACAACCAATCTCATTATATTGCAATTAGTTTGATGATGCATTTCTCCTAGACTATTGTTTGAAGGTGAATGGATTAAACAATGGTCGATGACGAACCGAAACAGCAAATCTGGCTATATTGTAGAGATGGGAATTATTTCCAATTGGAAGGCAAAAGCTCTAGAGGCTTATTTGGCATAGAACTCGGACCCACGTTTCCTCTTGGCCAAGTGGAATGAAATGTTCTAGGTCCGCAAGTCGTCCAAATATAGTGCGTGCTCCCCAAAAAAGTCCACATTTCAACAATTACTGAGCATATTCTTATGATTTCAACAACTATGGTAGAGGAATATTGCTATTAATTTATCGTCTGCCGGCCTGTTGAATTTCAAAGCTAAACTGTTAATATCAAGTCAAACTTTAGATACCAACATTGTTAGAAATTTATGGAAGTTGATGTGCTGTTTTCCTGTTCTAAACTACTCGTGGAAATTCGAGGGAAAAAAACCTTGAAGATATGACATGAACGCGTAGTTTTTTTCCTTTTAACTTTACCAAATCTTACCTCTGGGCTAGGTGTTTTATGTGGTTTTAAATTCCGTCTCATCGACATGGAACGAAAAATAGTAAGGGGATTAGTGGATTATCTTAGATGACAGACAATAGTCTCTGGTGACAACGTTGAGAAATTTAGCGATCAAACAGAATTTTATTTGTCCTCTGAATTACACAAGCTGTGCTAATCTGTTCAATATGGCCGTTTGTGTGGCGGGGAATTCGAGTTGAGCCTGGGTGAAATCTGTTTGTTTAACGCCTAAAGTTTTAAAGAATAAGACCACAAAATTCTTTCCATAAATGACATCAGCGTAATTCAATTTACACTACTGACAACTGGACATTCCTTTTTTCATCTCATGGTATCAATGTTTATTTGAGAAATCCAAAAGCAGATTGATTATCTTATCTTATTTTCAATATCCCCTCCTGTATTTTTTATTTGAAAGGAGAAATGTCATCAATTCATATTTTGAAAAATTGAGCCTCGCTTGTCAAATTTGTCATTTGAACTGTATTAATCATAGTCAATCTTTTCCATTATTCACCGCACTTGTTTCTCCTTGCTCTATCATTTAGTGTTTGTAGTCTGTCTATCATACCCAGCTGATATCATGTAGTTTTGCTTATCAGAAAGAGTGCTTCAAAATCCTATGATTCATTTCCGTGTTAAATACTTACAGCGTTTGATAGTCACTTCCCAAAATATGGTGAGAATGCACTTGAGTACATGTTCTAAAAATTACGACTGATATTAGAACAATATCTATCCTTTTCGGATCACGAAAAGATCCTCGATAGCGGCAGATCGTTCTCAGTGCTTTTTATCTTTTCCTGCTTATTTTTCAATACAAAACTCTGCAAACATATTCTCAATAGATTTCTAAACAATTTTTTTTTAACCGGAAGTAGCCGCGAGGTTTGGTTTCAGTGTTTCTTCAGAATTCTTCATGTGGGCCGACAGTAGCCGCCAATAACGCCTATACTGGTTTTAAATCTGTTTTTCACAGAAATTCTGCCGTATCTGAACATTGGAACGTTTATTAGAATGATTTCCTCGTTATAAGCACTGCATCAACCATTCAATGAAACCACAATTTCCTTATTTCACATTACTTGCATCGATTAGAACTAAAGTATATTTACGTAGAAGTATCTTATTTCGAGCTAGAATTTTAGAAAGTCTCACCTGACTTTTTTGAGGATGATAACTCAGTTTAGGGTTCGTGCAGGTAGTTCTACGTTTCCAAGCTTTATATCTCTGAATACTACTCAACCGTCTGATTGTATGCTGTTCAATACGCTGAATAAACTAGACGCAGACGTTATTGCATCTGACCTTTTCGATCTTGAGGACACAATATGATGGATTAACTCAAGTCAAGTGTTCGCGGCCTGACTTGAGATTTCCTGACTGGACCAGTTTTTGATCGACAAATTTTAAACATCATTGATAATTAGAGCCAGAACAAAAATCCATGCAGACAGGTCACCGACGGTTATGCGGAAAACAAAGGGGCCAGAGACTGAAGCTTTGAGCCAAGGCAGGTATACAACTTGGATAAATGTTATATTTTTACGTATGATCCACCCTCCGACTGCTTGACGTAATTAAAATTAAACCATTCCTGATAATTTCAAGCAACGCATTCCACAGACAGATTCACGAGAATAGGCAAAGGAAAAAGATAGAGGGGATTACTTTGATGTAGTATCAAATTCATTCAACTCGTTGACAATGAAATGCAAAGCAACCAGAGGAGAGGATTAGAGATAAGATTGTGGGAGCTAAATTGAGCCTTGACTGAGACCTGTGTAGGAGGTTCTTGAGTTTCCTCTTAAGTTCCCTCTTGGATTGAATGTTTGTCATAAGAGGGGTGGAGGGTTTGCAACTATTTTCGTCTATTCGTTTAAAACTACGTCTCTCTCGGAGATTTAAAAAAAGGAGAAAGAAGCTATACCTAACATTTAGAAATACTTTAACGAGAATTGTGGTGCGCCATTTGCCCTGGCCAATGCATGTTTAGATTCCGATGATGTCAAATGGCAACATATGAAACATCCTCGATAACTCGGTTTGAAGGCAAGTGTCGACGAGAGTCTGTTCTCTGTGAGAGCTGACCTTCAATAACTCTATTTACAGTGCAAGCTAGTTACGATAATTGGAAGGGCCTCCTTAAAAATTACTCGTAACACGTTTTGAGATGTGAAATGAAGCACAACAGAGATCAATTCGATGACAGTCAAGCTTTTTCCTTATTACTGCTTCCTTTCGGTTTAGATTTATCTACGTGGCTTCCTTTGAATGTGTACCTCGCATCACGTGATAGCTCCAATTTTAACTTTCTGTGACGTGCGCTCCTTAAACCGCTTTTCTGATTGAGAGCTTTTCCCTGTAGCAACTTTGAGGATGATACGTGCCATAATTTTAAATGTACATGCACCAAAAGGGTCTGCTCTTAAAGAGTCTTCAGTTTCACTCTATTTCTAGAATTAGTGTTTGGACGCGCAACACTACTCTAGTAGTTTTTATTCATTATTATTTTTATTCTTTCATATGAACCCGTGTTGCAAATGAAATTTTTGTCAGACTCATAGTGCAAAACAAACAAACAAGTGAAGAGTGCACTCCTTCTCTAACTGAAGAATTAATTAGACCAAAATGAGAGAAAGGAAAAAATGAGGTTTGCGGGGCATTTGCATTTAAGAAAATACGTGTGAAGGCGTGGGCATTTCATTGCAGCTAAGTACCGGTAGATATTTCTGTTGACGTCAATGAACCTGAGCTGGCGTTATGACTGGAAACAAAAATAACAACAAACAGATGGTAGGGGTTTCTGCAAAATCTCGCCCGCAAAATGCCTTCAAAAGCTCTAGTATGAACCTCCCCCATCGCACGCACATAAAAATCTTGTGCGGCCTTATCTGCACAGTAAATCTGTCGCGATTCAAAAATTTCCTTCATCTGCTATTTAGAAATTCTTTTGTCGTACTCATAAGAGGGATGATAAATTTTTCTACGATATCCATCCATTAAAATAATTAGGAATCTGATCTGAAGATCTGTACGATTGTACTAACCAATCGCGTCAGTTTCCATGGATGAGACAGTTTTTTTTAAAAACAAATATTTGGCCAAATTACCTGAAATACCGTCACCCACTGAATAACCGTTCTTGTTTCCGGATTGGTCACTAATTTAGCTTATACATATAGGTCAATGCAGAAGCTTACGAAAGTTCAAATATATTAAAATAGTGCGACATGCGTGCAAAGATTTTTTCAACATGTTTGCCGTTACCATGCATTGTGTCAATCAGTCCTTAATTTGCAAATAAGGGCTTATCCGCACTAGCACACAAAAACAGAATTGTTCCGACAAAGCTCGAAAAAATCAAAGGACAACTTTAGTCTTAACACATTTTTGTCTCCTCTGCATCCGCACTAAAAATGTCGAAGCTGTTAAATCTGTCAAATTCGCTTAACAGCCAAAATTGACACCGATACTATATTTCATTGTAATTTTATTCAATTTAGCTTTTCCTTTCTCTTTGCTTTGAGTGGGCACTTCTGAATCTTGTGCCACATCTACTGCCTCATTGTTGGAATGATAAAGTGGCGGCTGGAAAATCGCTCCACCGTTGTATCTTGCCCCGGCTGCATCCAGCGCCTGACCTGCTCATAATTTGCTTATGGATTCAAACTCTAATTACCAGGATTCATCTTAAGTTGTCTGAAGTTGTAAAATCTGTGAGTTTCGCAACGAAAGATAATTACTGTAATCTTTTGGCAAACTAAACTCAGTTCAATCACCACACCGATGGTAGCGTCTACGACAAATATTCGACAAGTTTATCACGGTTTTGTTTATTTAGTCGATTTTTCCAAGGTTCTACCCAAGGCGTAAAAGAGAAATGGATTTTCAGTAAGGTGAGAGTAAGTGGGAATATCAAATTACCAGGTTTTTACAAATGACCAAAACTGAAACTTTTTTTCTTTTTCGCTATTTGTGCCTCTGCGATAAATTGAAAGATCTTGTATCTCGGACAAACCCTTTGTTGAAAAAGATAACTAGTAAGTAAATGACTTGTTTTGGAGAAACTACCAATAAAAGGACTTTTTTTTCCCCGAGATTCGTATCGATCGAAAAATTTGTTCAATTTCAGTCCACTTTCTGACCTTCTCGAACTTATGCATATAGGTTGACTTCATTACAAGATCGTTCTGACCGGTAATTTTGTTACAATGATTTTTGAAATACAATCAATATTTAAGTATTATTAGGGTGCGTTTTATATTCGTACACTGAACTGTATTTTAACTCTCAGGGATTTAGAAAATAAATGGTTGTACTCTAAAGAGCACAGTTTAGCAACCACCAAATTACATTTTTATAGCAAACTGAGAATTACGTATATGAGAACGATCCTTCGCAGTAAAGCACTATTTGAGCAATAGTGAAAATCAGACCTGAAAAAAATTTCAGGCCTGTACGGTTTTTCAGGTCTGATTTTCACTATTGCTCAAATAGTGCTTTACTGCGAAGGATCGTTCTCATATACGTCTCATAACCGCAGTTCACACATATGTTTCATATGTTTGTTGTTGTTTGATTTATCATCCACGGGTTTATATCGAATTAATTTGATGGCCTGCTCCGAGTTGGCTTGTTAGCTCAATTGGTAGAGCGCTGCACTAGTATCGCAGAGGTCAGTGGTTCGAATCCCGTACAGGCCTGAAATTTTTTTCAGGTCTGATTTTCACTATTGCTCAAATAGTGCTTTACTGCGAAGGATCGTTCTCATATACGTCTCATAACCGCAGTTCACACATATGTTTCATATGTTTGTTGTTGTTTGATTTATCATCCACGGGTTTATATCGAATTAATTTGATGGCCTGCTCCMAGTTGGCTTGTTAGCTCAATTGGTAGAGCGCTGCACTAGTATCGCAGAGGTCAGTGGTTCGAATCCCGTACAGGCCTGAAATTTTTTTCAGGTCTGATTTTCACTATTGCTCAAATAGTGCTTTACTGCGAAGGATCGTTCTCATATACGTCTCATAACCGCAGTTCACACATATGTTTCATATGTTTGTTGTTGTTTAAACTGAGAATTAGTTAAAAATTAGTTAGGATATCAAATTACCACATCTTGACGAGTTCATAAAGTTAATCGTTGGATTGAAGAGTCACTGATTGGTCAGTTGACTGAGCCGCGGAAACCGTTGAATGCGAAATTTAGATATAAATACATTGGCTTTAGACGCGTACGGCGCTGATCGACAACATTTTCCCTCCCATAGCAGGCAACTCAGAACATTCCCTTTGATTTACAATAGCTCACTGACAAAGAGAATGTGGACTAGATTAACTATACTTCTGATGCTTGGTTTGGTTTCTGCGAAACCCGCGCCAGAAATTAGCCTGCAAGAGATAGAGAAAGGTGAGCACAGTCGTCGACTGACTTGAAATAGCTTTATGCATCTGGTTTTATGCCTTTTCTTGTCGTGTTACATGTCCCAGTCCTTATTTAAAAATTTTGTACAACCAAATATTCCAATGTTATGTCTTTTCCCACTAATTTTCTGTGTTTGATCTTAGTTCTGTTTGCGAGAATTTGTGCGTGTTGTAATGAAGCCTGATCTTTCTCACGCAACCGCTTCACATACCATTGTTAAACTTTTCGATCCATCTCTGGGCTTTATAGTGGAATTACAACTCGAACTGGATTTGACGAAATTTTCTCTTGGTGCGTTAAAGCATTTAGCTTTGTAGTTGACAGTTCTGTTGGGCCAGAGGAGAAAACAGAACAAAATACGGCGAAACACTGCGGCGGTTAATTTTCGGTAGGGTTCCTGACAATTTCAGCTTCGCGGGGGAGACATAGTTGGGCCTTTTTTATTTCAAACTTTCATGTTGCAAACATAGGTCCTTAGTCATTGCGCAAACATTGGTAGTAGGTCATAGTAGAGCAGTATTTAAAACAGGATAGGAAGAAAAATGAAAGTTATTATCGTTTTCGATCGTTCGTTCGTTTGTCTCTCTCACGTATGACACCCTTTGACCTATTGGTAAGACTTGGTTTTCAGTTACAGTAGTGTGTTGTTTGGGTACGGTTAGGCGCGGCGCATATTTTTAATCTGCCGAATATTTCATAACTTTACTCCCCAACTAAGGTAAGATTTGGACGATTTTGCGGCAGGTTATGAAACTTTTGATAAAGTTCGTTCGCAGGCGGGACACTCAGACAAAAAGAAAACACCTTCCTTTTGGGTTCCTCCCGTGAAAAAATAAAATCACTGTAGATAACGTTAATACCTAAAGTAAATTGATAATGGAGGCAATGCGAGACATTTTTGGTGTTGCCTTATTATTATGGTCTTTCGTAATGTTATTTCGGTGGTTTTGGGTGCGTTATGAGTCGCACCACAAGAATTTTTTGATACGAAGGTGAAGGTGAAGTTTTCCATTGCGAAAAAAACCTGATTATAAAGAGATTTTGGTGTCTCAAGGTAAACAACAACGTAAAAAACATGATCAAAATTCAGAAACTTTATAGCGTTTCTAAGAAAACAAAAGTAAAGTTTGATACTTGCATGAGAGAGGAAACCGAATTCCTACCTTAAAATTCAAACCGTCTAAAGCTTGCTTCCGTGTTTTCCAATATTCGTTCTATGAAATATTGTAACAAGTTTTAAAATCATTTTGCTTCGACGTGACAAAACGATTTTTTCGTGATCGACAAAGTGAAATCCCTAATCTGATGAATATAAGATTCGAAAAAACGATTAAAATGTTTTTCTCGCGCATCACTAAATATGATACGTGTACTCATTCCTATAGCAAACTAATCGCAAATATTTGAGCTTTGAAACTGCCTCTTTTGGAAGTGCGCCGCATCTAGAAAAAAGTTTGAAATTATTTTGATTCTGTCTTCTAAAGACGATTGCCATCTTTCGATCCTCCTCAAAAGTCCTTATAAATATCTAAGCTTTTTGGAACAACACAACAGAAGTACCGTTTCAGATGAAAAAATAAATGTCATTTCTTAAGCCCTATAAAATTATTTCCAATTCATAAACTCTTTTTTCCTGCCGGTAGCATTTTCATTTTCAAGAGCGGGGCAAACACCCAATCGTTTTTATTTGTGAGCGTTCAAAGAAAAGAAAATAGCACCCACAGTGCGCGACGTGCGAAGCGTTCATGTACAGCACCCATTTTTGTAAGACTCTGACGTCTGAGAGCTGCACTTAGGCACCTATTACGTTGTCAAAAAAGATGGGCAGGAGTGGGTGAGGTGAGACATCGTCTTTCTACTCCCTCTCCTCACCTCCTTGCTCATTGCCCACTCTGCCCCACTCACTTAGTAATGTCATTTCTTTCCCCAACTTTCCGCAATTCCAAGAATTGAAAATGGTGGCTATACACTTTGTTAATTAAGAAGCAGTGAAATCGGACATTTGCATGCTTAAAATGTGCCTGTTGGCTTGACAGAACAGGGGACACCTGGCTTAAATTTTATTGTTAATTCTTTCCCTGTAGAGCTTGAGGAGTTAACAGCAAAGGAACATGATGCTTCTGGTAATGACCAACAAATGTTTTTGAATGCCTTTAATTAATCTCCCTACTGTAAATTATGTAAACAGGAGAAGGGAATAGATAAGGCAAATTAATGAGTTCGAGTGCAGCTTCCTTATACAACATCAAATTCTCTGAATTGACCCACATAGAATTTTAAAGCAGCTGGAAGAGAGAATTGCAAATTAGATCTTGAGAGTTTAAAGATGAGGCAGACCCATTAGTTTAGTGTTACCTTTCAAACCTAGTCCACTTTTTGTAAAGAAAAACTTCATTTTTATCATAAGGTAATCTGCTCACTTAAGGGGTAGCCTAATGAGGCATGCAAGGGGCAAAGCCCAAAGGGTCACTGACAAGCTAGAGTTGGAGTCCTTTGCATTTCCCTTGTTTGCTAAAGAAAAGCATAACACATATGTCAGTTTTTCAGAGCTACAATGAAGTAAAGGATCAGTGGCAAACATTCTTTACTGATTGTTGATTTGTCTTATGTGATCAGAGACAACAGTAAAGAAGGCCAATCAAGCAGACACGCCCCAGGAGACAAAGTCTGGTAAATTCCAAACTTAAGCTGTAAAGATATTCTCTCTAAATCCTAAGGGTTATTTTTGCTCAGAGTTGACTGTACCTCAATGCCTCGAAACAGTTAAGAGTTTCCAAGACTGACTAACTTTTTCACAACAGCTCATAAGTTTTAATCAAATCATTTTGTTTTTGTTCAGATGAAGCTACAAAGGAGGAGACAAACCACCAGGAAAATCTTCAAAATAGTGAGTGTGATTCGAGCAAAGTTGTGAATTGGAGGGCTTCATGACTTTTTCTCTTAATGGTTCATTTTTTATGATTAGGTTAAATGATTGGGTACACTACACTAAACAACATTTCTACTTGCAGGTGCTATAGATGCAAAAGAGAAGAAAAAAGAAGAGGTGAAAAAAGATGCAGAGACAGAGAAAAAGAAATCTGACTGTAAGTGTCTCATATTTTATGTCATCTTTTGTCAGAAACCTTTTGTGGATATGGTTTCAAATTCAGTTTAGAGCTCAGTAACAGGTTAAAATGGAATAATTCCTGGGTCTTATTTATCATGTGGTAGGCAAACTGATGACAAGGCATTGTTTGAGGTGTACCAAAACTTTATGTTTTACTGTAAATATAAGCAAATTATTTATTGTGTTTAATATCCTCCATAGATCTTGAGATACTGCCCAAAAAGCCAGTGAAACCAGGTAATTCAAAACAAACTGCATCCCTTGTCCTTTTTTTTTTCTCAAAATTTTTCCTCGACCTGAGAATGTTCCTGTTCTAGGTGTTCAAAAGGTAAATAGTATCTATTTCTTGCAGCACTCGGCTATTTATTTGCTGAAAGCTTCGAATGATGTGTGGTTTTACCATTATAATTTTTCAACCGAGTACTGCACTTTTGGTACAGAAGTACAGAGCCTTTTCTTATAATTGTTTCTTGATGAATTAGGTCCTGAGGAAATCCCTCACCGTGATGTAACTGAGTCTGGTAAGATATATTTGACCTCAGTACTCATTTATTAGAAAGTAAGATCTCATGTTGAGTGTGCTATAAAACCAAAACCCAAGTACAATAGCCAGGGTTCGTACACGTCTTGAAACCCCTTGAATTTCAGGAGGCCGATTTCAAGGCCTTGAAAGTAATTGTATTTCGTTTTGGGTCTTTGAAAGTCCTTGATTTTTAATTGAACAACAACAAAAATATCTGCTTTTGTTTTGTACCATCGGTAAACCCAAAACATAGATGTTAACAGAAACATTTTTCTTGGTTTTGAGGTAAAATTGTCATTACAAAAAGTTCTTGAAATTTCTAAGTAGGGTCCTGGAAAGTCCATGAAAAGTCCTTGAATCTTTGGCCTGAAAAAGTGTACGAACCCTGAATAGCCAATCAGAACAAGTCACAAAGCAAAGGAATGTAGCACCAATGCAACCTGGATTACTTTCTTCCGTCAATGAAAGTTACTCTTGTTTTATGGATTGGAAGACGGACTTTATATTTTAGAGTACTTGTCAAGTACAAAAATCCTCACTCCTTCAAGCAATCAAGTGAAGTATTTAAATAGGTGGTTCTGAAATAGATCAATCCTTAGAACAAATCTGAAATCCTGTTTTATTCTGACTCTAGACTTTAGAGATACTGAAGCCTACAAGAGACTCTTAGGTGGGTATTTTCTGAGGTTCACAGCTCAGAAATTATACACTTTTGTATCACATAAAACTCTGACCTAAGTTGAGTAAATTATGAAATATAAACATGGAAGATCGAAAAATACGCAAGAAGTGAGGAAAAATTAAGGGGGAAGTTGTAATAAGGGATACAAAACATAATTGCACCGTAGTGCAAAAATACTGGGTAAATTTCATGAGGTAAACAAACTGTTAGCTATTACTTCCTCTGAACTTTTGCCATTATGAGAGGGGCGTCTGGAGCCACACATTATGCGGTGGTATTCTAGGTTTTTGATTTCTCTCATATTATTACTAACTTACAACTATTGCTTTCTTTGTTTTTCCAGAGGCAAGAAATTCAAGATTGTTGTCTCAACTAAGTAAGTGGCCAAGTAATACCATGAAGACCTTTTTCTAATGGTGAATTTAAAATTTAAACAATTTTTAAAAATCGAGTTTCCAGATGGGATTTGAACCCACGACCCTCCGTGATCTAGTCGGATGCTCTAACCACTGAGCTACAGGAGACTATGGTGAGCAAGGGTCAATTAGTGGGTATTGACTGGAACCGCATCATATTTAAAATTTATAACATAAATGTGTAGAGTTGATAATTTACTAATTATTTTTCTTGTAGGTGAGGAATATAAGAATGACTACCCTTCTTTACCTAAAAGACCTAGTGAGTATTTTTATGTCTCAATACCAAAGTTACTTTCTTAAAAGATGGCTTCTATAAATGTGGTACTTAACTTGTTTCTAATTAGTTTAGATTTCTGTTCATTCTTTCAGTGATTATTTTTATTACCGTCCAGTCCAGAAATGTGTATCAGTGGTAGAATTAAAACATACTTAGTTTTTATTCATAATTTTTAAATCAAGACCAAAAGTAATAGTAACAAGTCAGATCAGAGTGCCCTGACCTACTTCTGTGAAATAATCGAACACCTGAGACCATTTAGCCCTCACATATATCCTTGCACAGATAATTCCTTGTTCAAATAATTTCGCTGGGCTTTTTGTGGTAGCTGCAGGGTGCTTACCTGTGTTTTTCTTTTGACTTTGGGTAACATATGCAAACGATTGGCGTGAGTGGGGTGGGGTGGGTGGACATGTCCCACTGATTACGTAATTTTCCTTTCATCAGAGTTACCTGAAGCCCCTCACAGGAGAACATACGGTAAGCATACACTAAACATACGGTTTCTCTTGTTTTATACGCAGTTATGCCATTTTATTCCTTTTTTCTCGTTCCAAAATTTCTGCATTTGTGATTGTCATTAACGGCCTTTATTACACGACTTGGGCAGCCAGAGGGCCAATAACTAAAATCAACCAATCAAAATGCTCTATTGCCGGTCCAATATTCTCCAAGTATTGGACAGGGCACTGTCCCGAATGGTCCTGAATGATACCGCACTTGTGTCGCTTTGAACTTCAGTCGTATAATAAATCTCTTATTAACCAAGCTTGCTCGGGACCGTACTGGAAGAATATCGGCCCTCACTCTTTTTTGTACGGACCTCGCTGCGCTCGTTCCGTACTGTCAAGACCTCGGGCTGATATTCTCCCAGTACGGCCCTCGCGCTTGGTTAATAAGATATAATTATTGATAAAATTTGTTTGGTTTCCTCGCAGGCAATACTGATTATAATGAATATGACCATCCGTATCCTTATCTGCCAGTTCCAAAAAGACTATGTACGTACTTTCAATTTCTGTATTTTGCGTTTCATTTCTGAAAATTATGTTACAGTGTGCTTTCTAAACATGGCACCGATTGTCTGTTTCGTCACGCTTTTACTCAACCCCTTGTGTTGTTGTACCCAGTTATTCCTTAAACTGTTTTATTCTACTGCTTCCGCTTGACGTCTCGTGTGTTTCCTTCGTTACAGATTTTCCGGAAGCCCCCCACAGGAGAACGTACGGTAACCGATTTAACTCAGCTTTATAACATAATTACTCTTTCCTTTTTACATACAACGGTTTCATTGAATTTCCATGTGGTTTTAGTCGCTTTTGAAGAGTTGGCATTCACAAACACCGTTCCTAATATACCTCCTTTCTTTTTGGCTTTCGCGTGAATTTGGTATGGTAAACGTGTGGTTCACCCTAAAATGTGGGGTGTTTTAAATTTAATTTTGTTGTTTTTCCTTTTTTTTAGATACCTATCGTAAGAGTTATGATTACGTTCCAAGTAAGTAAGAAGTCTTTAGATGGTGAATCGTAAACCTCTGCAATCCTGCCCATAGAATTAAAGACAACGCTCACATGTGCATTATAATAAGTAGATTACTGATAGCCATTGCTCAGTTCCTTTAAATCCCTACCCTCTCAGACGAAGAGGTCGAATGAACGTTGTGACGTAGGAGAAGAAGATGGGCTACAGAACTGAAATTACGCGTCATTTTGCACGTGCCTTTGCTGAAGGTACATGACTGGATTTCTTAGACGTATTTAAACTGAAGTCCGCAATTATAGACCGTCATACCTAAGGTGTCAGTTTCTTTTATTCAGAGGACCTTTACGCGCCATGGGATCGCACTGGATTTGAGTCAAATTCTGACCAATCAGCAGGGATGAGAGGAATGCCTTATGGTGAGACCACATTTACTTTAAGAACACTATCTAATCTACCCGATAAAGGTTGTCCTTGACGTCAGGGCTGGAGCGGCTTATAACTTTTCCTTTTGTTCCCTCGGTAAGGTGCTTGCCTATCGCTGCTCATCCCTGTTCAATTCTTCGACCTTCCCTTACAGTTTTGTGGTACTTAGTTGTGCTCAGGTTTTTTTTTTTTTTTTCGTAAGAACAAAGCACAATGACCCCACCAGAGCTTGAGCATGCCTCTCAATTTAGTTTTCAGCGTGCAAATTTCCCGGTCACCGTATCGCCCATTAATGAAACTACTGAATGCTCTCTTTTACTTCTCTTTCCTTCCCAGACATGACCAGAGCAGAACGAATGGCCCTTCTTTCAGGCGGAAAATGGCTCCCAGGTAGGATTCTATTTGTAACTGGAAATGAAACAGCTAGGACGATTCGAAATAGATAGAAATCAGTGTAGCTGTTTTCTCATCAAGTGGATTTGCTTTAAATTAGTGTAGCTGTTTTCTCATCAAGTGGATTTGCTTTAAATCTGCCTTTTCATTTAGATTCTCAGGCTGTAAAAGTTCCAGCAGTACTGCCTCCCCCAAGTCGTTCAGGTAGGGAGATTTATGTGTCGCCTCAGCGTAGATGCTTAGTCGTCAATAGTTCGTTCAGGCTGATTCACGATCGAGTTGTTATTACATTTATATGTTAGCTTGATTGACTGAATTAAACGTAACTCAGATGAAGTCACGATAAGAAAGACATTAATGTCGCGTGAGTGTCAAGTGGATTTCAAGTCTGCAAATAACTAACGGGCAGTCGCCGGTCACGTTGTCCGGTCAAACATGCTTTTGCTCGGACACTACCCGTTTTTGGCCGGTCAAATTTTAACAGTCCGAACTCTTGCGATAGTGAACCCAGATTGCACAGTAATCCTTTTACAACTAAAAAACAACTGAATCCAAGTCGGTCTGGCAATAAAAATTACAAGTTAATAATTTTACTACTCTTTACTGCAGAAGCAGCCAAACATACTCTCTTTTTATATATCTTGACTTTTTTCGTTTTCAGTACAACTCAGAGCCCTTTTCTTTTTTTTTTAAGTTACCGTTGTGAATTTTTGTTAGAGTAAAAGAGTGGTCGGATTCTCCAGGTTTTGGGCCTTTTGCTCGCTTTTTGCACTTTGCAACAAATGCTACTTGGAGTATTCTCGATGCAGCGAGATTATTCTTCGTGAGGATGCTCAGTTTCCGATCATTCAATCAATCAAAATATCAATCACTTTATTTAAGAGTAAATTATGGTATCTAGCCAAAAGTAAAACCCTCTACTAACTGGGAACACTTAAATAAAGCAAATAAAATAACGGAATACACGATGATTTGCGGTCGCGACAGGACTTGATGACATCGTGGAAATTTGCGACTGCCGGGAATTTCTAGACCACTAATTTGTTTACTTTTATATTCGTTTTTTTTTTTTTTTTTTTTCGGAAACATTACTGTTGTCCATTGTGATTATCAAACAGTTTAAAATTAAAATTTCTTTGAACGAATCGGTAAAGGACCGGACAAGATGTCCGGCAATCCAAGGATTTGTCCGCTCAGTACCCAATTTTCACCGGACATTGTCCGTTGACCGGCCGTTATTTGCAGCCCTGGATTTTGTTTTTGAGCCGATTTATCACCAAAACATACTGCTTTCTCCCAATCCCATTCAGAAGCCTCTCCCTTATGAAATAGTGGCCGGGCAAGGAGGGAGTCATTTCTTTTACCTTAAGATAGTCCCTTGCTATTGTTGGTTGTCACCAGCCTCTCGCTGTCCTTCTTGCTCGTAACTGTCAGTCGAGACATTCGAGTCAGTCAGAGCGTTATAGAGAAAGGGCAGTTATATATATATATATATATAGATTTTTGTTTTTGCTTATCTGATTGCAGATGTCGATACTCGGTCATACAAAAGCTTCCATGGGAAGATGAACGATAAAGAGACAGAAGACCTGATACGTGGTAAAGAAGGTGCGAACACGTACTGAATCAAACATAACTTGAAGAGATACACGTAGACTACATTTGGATTCAGTCTACTTGAAGTCAAATACGAGAAAAGTCTGCATAGTTTGCGTTTATACGAGGAAAACTGGACTGAAAGTTAAGCTGTTTTCCATGTCTTTTATAACAGGACTGACAGAGACAGAGAAGCGCAAGCGTTTACTCACCGACCTATTGGCGGAAAAGCTCAAGTCAAGTAAGAAATCTATCCATCTTTGTTAATCACAGTACTTTTTTTTTGTTTTCATCTTAGCGAACTATCGTGTTATATACTTTCCTTTCTCTTTGTTTACTTAGAGGTGAGTGAAGCACATAAACGGGGCATCGAGATTCCATCCAAAATACAAGAATTCCTTTTGAATTGTAAGTTTCCCCAGAAACTCTTTTATTATTAAAATAAGATATTCTATCATTTATATACCTGAGCCTTTATTGGTTCGAATTCTAGCGGCGTTGATTGAAACAGGATAACAGAGAATTATATTGTAATTGCTCTTCCTTTTTCTACAGATGAAGCACGGCGAACAGCGGACACACGATCTGGTGAGTAACCTTCAGTTGTCAACGGATTTCTTTGCTGTTTTTACCTTCATATCACACTAAACTCCTGATCACCAAAGGATCTTTGAAGGGCTCCCCCATGAAATTTTATTTTCTTACGACTGGTGATCGCTCCACACAGTGAGTGACTTGTTTGTCGCTTTTTTGGGTTGTTTCTCATGGAGAACTCCTGACTGGGAATGGAAGTGCTAAATATTTCCGATCAACGTACAAACATCTTTGTAACTCACTAAACTGCATTGAACATTTTTTTTTTTTTCTTCCAGAGAAAGACCGTCTAAGCCACTGAGGAATTCGTGCGATGAGAAATCCCTACTGATAAGAAAGCGCGACTAGCACTTAATGATAGGTAGTTAGACATGAAGATTTAAGCACAGTAATTACAGCAGAGGTATAATTTTAACTTGAATATTTTCACTGTATATTTAGAGTGATTACGCTATGTAGCAATGTTTAATTGTTATCAGGACTGAGAAAATAATAACAGATGTAGCAATTGAGCAACGATTTTCCACATTACAAAATAGTACACGTAGTATATGCAGGGCAGGGGGAAATTCCGAAACAGGGTGATTATCTTGCGGGATAAGGGCTATCCTCCGATCTCCATCGTCTGTAGCCCGGCTGTAACTCGCATCCTGACCCCTAACTTAACTTCCGAAAAAAGGTATTTGAAATTTTGATAGCCTGTGAGGGGAGGGGTGGGTGTACACAGGCTAAAATTTTGATAGTACTCATTACTTCGAAGCTTCCTATTGAGACATTCTTAGGTATCGTTATGCCCTAACTTTATTTCATGGCCAAAGATCTCGGTAACGTCTAAAGCGTCAGCCGCTGGTATTTCTGCCTGACACCTAATACTATCGGGAATGAGGTAGGGTTCAATTGTTCTTTCCGGCCCAAATTTCGTTTCTAGTTTGGTTTACAGCCTCCTATTGAGTCGACAAGATTGTTCCTTTGGTTACAGGCCCTGATCTTATCTCTCCTACCTTGTCACATAAGTGCTGATCTTTAGTAGAACACGGTTACCATTTTTTTTTAATGCAAATAAAAAAAAGAGCTTTAGAATTAATCTCCTTTAATTTTGAAATATACAAACTACACGATCTTTGTCGCCATTGTAAACCACTCTCGTTGAAGGTGTCTTTGTGTTAATCTGAACTCTTTCTTTTCACGATTCTTACTGACTCTGTTGACGACTTCCTCCTTGGTTCTCCAAACATTTGTCGCTGTCATAGAGGACAGACCCTCTCAGAACCACTGTTGTCTGAACGGTCAGACTTCACAATCCATCTCTAGATATTTTTGTCAAAACCATTTTTTGTTTTTTTTGTTTTTTAACATTTCTGTATCTTCTGTCGTTTTTCTATTTATTATCGGGAAGTGCTCTTTTTGACTCCGCCGTTGCTCTCTCCGGTATCAAACGTCTTCTTAGGGTCCAAATTATCAGGAGCCTTTTCCTGAGGCTCCGAAATGGGGGGGATCTCTTTTATAGAGGCAAGCTCAGGTATTGGAGGAGGTTCCGGCTCAGGAATAGGTTCAGGTAATGGGGTTAACTCATCAATGGGTTCGTCCTCTCGAGTCCCAGCTTCTTCTTGGTCCATTATGGCCGGTGGGATTGGTGAGGGGGGTGGTAATCGTTCTAGTCTTTCTAGTGGATCTGGTGAGAATTCAGTTATCTTTGGTAGACGAGGGAAAGGAATGAAACGTTCTGCCATCGTAGACATGGTGGATTCTGGCCATCGCTGCAGATTGGGATATCGATGTAAGGTGGGGAATCTGTGAAAATGTATGAAACCTGACTCACTGTTATCCATCGCATAGGGGTAATCATAGTAAGGGAACATTTGGGCAGATCTTACTTGCAGAGCAGATGGTGGCCTTAAGTGATGATGATAAAAAGAACGTTTATTCCGTCGTTGCTTAGGAAGAGATGAGGAGGTGGCCCGGAAATTCTTTTCTCGATTCTGAGTAAACTGCTTCTTAGATTTTAGGTTTGTCTTCGTGTGGTGGTGCCTTCTATCCTTACTTCGTGTAACCCTCGATTTTCGAACATTTAAACCACCATCATTGACACGATCATACCAAGGTAGGTCTCCTTCAGAGACCTCCATGTTCGCAAATTGTGACGGTAGATCTGTGAAGTTATAATCTTTAGACAGAGCTGTGCTCTGCCTACTCAGGTCCTCGATCTGTTTTATTGTAGACTCTTCCTCGAGTTTCTCATCTCTTGTCCCGAAAGACGGCGAGGAATCATCTAGGAGACGCTCTAACATGTTATGTTCACTTTCATCTCTCCTGGTTAATTTTTCGTCCAAATAATCCGAATCAAAATCCTGGGAATAAAACTCATCCATGTCTTGTTTAATCCAATCTGGGTTTTCTTGGCGCCAACTATGCATAAAGGGGTTTTTGAAGTGCATTTTTCTATGAGCCCCCCTTTTACGCTCCTTTCTTCTCCCTAGGACCCTTTTAGACCTAACAGAACGCGCCTTATGATTGGCGATGTTACTTCGTTTATACGGTAGAGGGTCGCCCAGGATCGACACCAACCGCCGTGGGTCAATATGCAGTCTTTTACCCGTGTGGATGCCAATGCTCGGTCTGTATGTGGGCTCGGAGTACAACAGGGTTTTTCGTCGCAAGATCGTGGAAGTGTCTTCAGAGGTTTCTAATGTTCGTTTTCTTCCAGGCAAATTTTCGGCTGCCCTCTGTCTTTGAGGGCGCGGTATTAAATCGCGGTATTTTTTAATTCGTTGAAAAGTCTCCCAATATTTATTTGGTATTGATGATGTTTTCCAAATCGACTCTCCCTCTTCATGTAAGAACTTGTCTTGCACTCTTGGAAATACATTACCACGCTGAGTGACTTCCCCTTCTTCCAAGTTCGGATTCGTTTTAAAATTTAAAATGGACTCGATGGAGTCAGGTGCGGCGACGAACCCTCGCCTGTGTTCCAAAGGTATCTGTGCTGTCCTGGATTTCGCCACTCCAACTTCCTCTCGCGGCTTCTGAGGTGTGGCACGCTGGGTAGGCGTCTGCAAGTTTAACCAGATAAACCCGTCAGTCAATCCATTTAACGTTGATGACTTTTTCAAACTCATCGTATCCGGATGAGGAATACGATTTACTTCACGATGTGGAATAGGATTCTCTGACGACTGGAACATTCTTCTTAATTCCTCTAATGGAGGCCCATGTGCTGTACAATCCTTTGTTCCTTAATACAACAGGGGAAAGGAAAAAAATCAGCTCCCCTATTTCAAGCCACCTCATAGAAAGAATAAGTAATACGCACATACTGGACACACAGTCACACAAGTTGCCACAGCTACCACAGTACCCTCGATTCGCGATGCGCACGCCCTAAAAAACCATCATGGGCATTCGTCACTTTGTTAAACAATGTATTGTTCAAAATATTTGTAAGTCTGCGCTGCAAAGGCTTTACTGTAATTCGTCTTGTATATCAACGTTTATTACTGTTATTGATATTACCTAAAAGCTAGGTGGAGAATAGTTTAAAGTCCTTTCGAATTCATGTTATCCCTGACCATGCAGGCTGTGAACTACTTATCTTTCTGAGCTAGATCGGAGAAATTAGCACCGCAGCAACAGATGCTGATTGTCAAGAGAACAAATTAAGATTAACAAACAGAGATGTCTAGTAGGTCTGTAAAACGTTCACAAATGTGACCGTTCCGTAAACAGGAAGCCAAAATACGAAAGAAGCGAGAAACAACAAAGCAGACAAGCCTTGAAGTTTGCAGTACTCAAAACTTGAGAACTTTCCGTAAACAGGAAGCCAAAATACCAAAAACTAACAGAAACAAGGAGCATTCAATACTTAATAGGAAACGGCTGATTACTGAGGTATGTCTGTTTGCATAAGTTGTGTGAACCCAACACGCTAAAACTGCAGGTAGCGTCTTCATGTGCGTTGTCTTGGATAATTCGTGAATTAGATACCAGTCCACGGATCAAGTAGTATTTGACGTTCTTTGGAGAGTCTCTCAGATTTGAAAGATTTGTCATAATTTGATCAATTTACACATGTTTTTACCGCAAGAAAACGTTGCTCAAGATAAAGCCGCAATTCAGACTGTTGACAACTTAATTTGTTTTGACGGGCTGTTGAGGAAGAGGATATGAAATAAGATCAAGACAATAGCTGAACTTGCTTACTACCAAATCACATCGCTGAAACAAACACCTTACCTTGGACCAAAACAAGAAGAAAAAGTAGAGCCATTTTTTTCAGTATTTGCGGCCATCCTTTACAACATGAAGTCATTGTCAAGCCCAGCTGTACCTGCTGAGTGTTTCTGAGAGTTTTTCTTCTTGAACAGATGTCACCAGATCTTTAAAAATTTTTCGTATAATAGGCCCTATTGAAGGACAAACAACGTTTTACTCAGGTTTAACAACTGTGCCATTTGTCAGAGTACACTGAGAGTTGTATCGCTGTAGGATGAGTTGTATTCTTTAACCCGGCAATATTCAATTAGAGTGAATAGTCACATTCCAGTCATGCATAAATAATCACCCACTTACGCTGAGAGGTCTGCGAGCACATCACTCTCACTGACCCGAGTGATTCTTAGGTAAAATAACTTCTCCTTGGCTGAGTAACTGGGTAATAAATTACTCTCAAACTGGCAGGGCCCAGTTGGCCTGCGGCCGGGTAATTCCTCCTCCGAAAACAATTATGATTTTATTTTTGCTGAATTTAGTACCTTTTTATTGATATTTGATCTCTTTTTGGTGAGTTTTGATGTGTTCAGTTTCTTTTTCATTAGAGTTTTTTTCACCTTTTTAAAATTATCTTCATGTAACGTAGGTCGATGGAGAAACAGTTGACTATAATGAGAATTTATTATCTAAGAGGTTTGTTAGTACTTTTTTTTAGATAATTGGGTTTATCCATATAAGAATTAGTACCGTATTAGAGTTCTTTCAACATTTTTTTTCCTTTTGTCTCATTTTGCCGGTTGATTCACTAAATTATTTTATTGCATCTGTTGTGGCAACCCCCCATGCCGATGGGCACGTATGTTACCACAGAGGGTACAATCTGTAGGTGGATAGTTGCTCGCACAAGATAAGTTGAAATTGCACACCCCCCTGAATGGTTTCCAGACGGAACTTCGGAAATACCATAGTAATCCCCTTACACGAAGTACTAGCAACACTTTAGACAAAGTCCAAGACTACCGCTGACACACCCCCTCGTTGCGTAATCCCCTCAGATTGACGAGTTGGCGTGTGGACCACGAGGGTGGAAAATATACGGCGCAGAGTGCGTCAACTGGGAAAGAGATTTGTGGCTTGATGTATCTCGACAACCGACGCTTGTCTGTTTCTTAGTTCTGATTTAACCATTGCTGATTTCTGGTGAGCTTTAGATAGCATTTGAACATTTCATACTCAAATCACAAGATTTACTTCTCGCTCGCAGTGATAGAGGTTTTGTAGTTAATGACCTGATAAAGTTTCGTACGACTGAGCGTTACTCAGTCTTGTAGGTCATTCCCTTTATCTCTAAAGTATCTTATGATTGGTAACACAAGTCGAATCTTTGCCTTCTCAAAATACCCAAGAATTATGTCCACGAAAGGACATACAAATGTAATTCACGTGGCCGGCCATTGAGTTATATTTGATACTCGGTCATGGTGGTTGCCTTTAAATAGTGACATGATGCAATATAATGTGACTTCTTGCTCTGACAGAAGCATATTCTTACTCAACTTACATAATTTTGCCCTGGTATATTTTATTCACTGGACATGCAGGGGTAAAATAATATTTCAGTTACGGTGTTTTGATTTGGTTCCAGTAGCTTTGAACATTACACTATGCCATCTGTTACCGGACGTATCGAAGAGGCAAATATGACCGAGAACACGGGAAAATTACCTTGTCCTCATATGAGAGAGAAAAGCGATGAAACCCCACATATAGAAGAAAAGAAGGAAAAGGAAATCAAAGAGCAGGCCACTCAACTGGACGAGACTGGTAGGATTTTTAAATCTTTTTATGCAGTATTAATGGATCTCGACTCCGGCAATTTACATAAAGTTATTTGTTTGGATTTTTTCTGTGTTACTGTACATTACTATTATGTCTAACTGATAAGAAACTGATTAATCTGAAAATGGTCATTTCTTAAGCACATTAAATCATTTTGATCTTCGGAACTCTTGAGAATCGTGCAAAAGTCGCAGTATTGAGCACTGCAAATATTTAAATTGCGCCAACCTTTGCGTTCTTACTTAATCGAATTACATTACACAATAGAAAACTTTCCACCTTTGTGAAGTGTCAAGGCTTATTCGAATAAATGTTCTGTTTTCAACTGTCGTAAAACCATTGTCTTTGTCAAAAATTTGTCTTTTTATTTAAATTTGTTAAAATAATTCAATGCTTGTCAGATATATAAAAAGTAATATTGATACCCTTAGCTGCTTTTTTGCCAGGTTTTACCACATTCATTCTTAATTATTAATAGGTCCTCAGCTGAACCATATTGTTTTATTACTTTCCTATTGTCTAGTCAAAGGGAAAAAGTTGATAGTGGAGAAACTTTCCAACTGACAACAGGATGAGTATGCAAAAATGTCATTTCCATTTTTGCATTCTGATCCAGACAAAAAGACACCAGAAATTAAAGATGCCCTTCAGAATTAGATGGCCTTCCTCACCAGCCTATTAATTATGGACTATTATAATAATATTATAATGTTATAATATAATAATATATAATAATATATAATATTATAATTATGGACCTTCTGTTAGTTCAGTTGTTTTCAAGGGTAAAATCAAAGATATGGCAAGAGTTCCATAGAACCCCATACATTAATTATGCATAGAGTGTTGCAAAGAAACCTTTATATTTAGCTTTTATGAAATGGAATGCATAATTAATGTATGGGTTATATGGAACTCTTTCCGATGATGTTTGGGATATGAATTTCACAAGATGTAACAATGGAAATAGCTAATTTCAAAATAGCCGAGAGTTTCTTCCAGATTCTGTTACTTAGTGTCTCTTTTCTTTGCATTTATGATGAAAATTAGACACAACATTCTCAACAAATTGATTTTTTTTTTTTTATCTGATTTTCAACATTTGGTTGTATGTAGACCAGTTGGCTCATATTTTCCATGTCTGAACTCTTAGGAACAAAGGATGGTACAATTGTTCAAACTGGAACAGTGAACTTGCACTTTTTGATTCCTGGATCAAATGAACCAATCACAGCCACAGTAAGTGTGTCTAAAGATATCTGAGTGTGGGTATTTGACATCTTGTCCAAAAAAACTTGCCATAGGTTTTGTTTGACACTTTTCGTACTGACATGAATAGATGATAAAAAATAGTTCATTGAATAATTTACATATGACCTTTGGACTGTGGTCAAATGAAGAGTTGATAGTTGTTTTATCTTTGTACAGCTGTAATGGGTTTTACTCTTAAAGTGTTATTATTTTTTATTGTTTCTGACATTAAATTTTTTTGAAATTTTCACATGTGGAAAGGTTTTTTTCTCTTTACTCTTAATACACTACAGCAGTACATCACTAGTTTGTTTCAGATTGAGTTTTGGTTGGAATAATTTATATATGAAGTAAACATCTATAGTAATAAGAGAAATAAGATAAACCTACAAACTCTATGCTGAAAGTAAAGTTTGCCAATTATGAACTAACTGACTGAGTAACGTTTCTTGCAGACCAAATAGGTACTGAATACTAGGACAGATTGTCAATTTCATTTTTCATGAATTAAGAAACCAACAGTTCTGTCAAATATGACATTATATTATAGGAATTGCCAATGAAGGAAGACCTAACTATTTAGTGTATCTAATTTTTCTTACAGTTTTCTCTCCAAGACAATGTTCAAGACCTTAGACAAGTTGTTCTTGATCGACCAGAGAGCTGTTATAGGACATGCTTTTCACTTCAAATAGATGGTGTACGACTGGATGATTTTGCTGAACTGAACATGATTGAAGGTCTAAAGGACGAGTCCACAGTAAAAGTTGTAGAAGGTATAGTGCTTATCACTTACGTGCCTCTTACAAGTTTGCAATTTACACAAAGTTGGCTGTCAGTCACCATTGAGTTTTTGTGACCAGAAGGTTAGATCTTGTATCCTTATCCTTTCAGCACTGTGAAAGCCCTACTAGAAAAGTGGACATAAAATTGAAGCTTTTTGGTTGAAGTGATGGCTGAAGTCGTTATAATGTCTTTGTGGGAAAGGCACTTCACTCTTGCAGTGCTTCACTCTTCTAAAGAGTAGAACATTATTAGGATATAAGAATTGACTGTCAGATCACCCAGTGGAAGGAACAATACTCCTGGTTTCAATATGCTATGGTCTCCATAATATATGGCCACTGTATTCCTAATGTTAGTAACTTGGGTTTGATACCAGGCTAGACTAAAACATTGAACCATTTCTTGTCAATGTGGAGGGTTTTTTAATTCACTGTTGTGTTAGTAGGTGACTACCGTAAAGTACCAGTGAATACTTTACACATCTGAATTTAGCATAACTTAGATGTTCGGTATCTTCTGATTACAGAACCATATTCAGTAAGAGAAGCCCGCATACATCTGCGACGAATCAAAGATCTCCTCAGCACCAATTTTCATGTTAATGCCTACTCAGCCATAGATCATCTTTCTTTATCCTTCCTGTCTGCAGTGGCTGGTGTTGATGTAGAAGGTAATTTCATACTGTTGGTAAAATTATTTTTCAATGACTGGGTGAAGCGCACATCCACAGATTTGATCTATTGATTAAATATTTACTTTCAAAATTCCTTCATTACATTGCAGTTTTTATCACAATAAAATTTCAAAATTACTAGCTAGCTTACCTAGCCAAGCTTAGGGTTTTTTTTGTTTTATTTTGCTTTACACTGACTCCCTCTCCATTCTGAAGTCTGAAAGATTTGACTGACTGTGTTACTGTATTGATGTTGAGATGTTCTAGTCTCCAGTAGGCTTCTCTGCTAATTGGCTGGAAGGATTGCCACATTATGAAATTTGATTCTTTTAAAATGATTGAACCATCTGGTTTTCGTATGTGCAAGATCTTTGTTTAAACTCTATCAGGTCATAATACTTACCATAGAACTACAGGTTTGTCATGATAAAAACCACACTGTTGATATTCAGCATAGTAGACCACTGCTGATCATGTAACATGTTCACAGTTACAGCGATATACTTACATGCCTACATTTCTTTTTGTTTTTCATCTTTTATGATTACAGAGGAAGTTTTACGTGTTAAGGGACAAAATGTGGGTACAGTTTCCACAGAGGAATGTCTACCTCCCACTCATGTGTTTGCATCAGATGAATTCCCTTGTGTAATGGAACCTTTGTTCCCACCAAATGCAGAACCAAAGGTAATTACTATAAAAGGACTGAAGTTTCCTCTCTCGAATGCACTATTATGTTGTCACAATGTTTCCAATAAGGAAATGAGTAGTGCTTTGTAAATAGCAGTAGGATGACATCAAATTTTGTTATTCCCCGGGAAATATCACATTCTTGGATTTCTTTATGATATAGCTAGCCAATGAATTCTATGCAGTTTGGTCAGTGGTTACCTTGGACTCAGATCTTTACTGAAACCCACACTCTTGATAATTGTTTATAATATTTGTTATCTTGATTTAATTATTTTAACCTTAATTTATCTACTCACGTAATTATTTGTTTGTTTATATATTCAGCTTCCACAATGTTTAAAGCAGTTATCTCCAAGTGCATGGAACCCTCCTCCTGGCAACAGACGACTTGCAGGTTAGAGACATCATCACCCTTGATGAAAGTTGGATGACCTTATGAAGTCTTAAAAGCTAAATAAAGAGTTTGAGTACTTACAGGGAACAGGAAGCTCAAGTCCCTTCATGCAGCTATAGGAGAAACAGAGTGGTGGTTTAAGGCATAGTTAGCATTTCATTTAGCACAACTTGGAAACAATTCCCTCTTCGTATTTAACCTAAAAATCGAAAGACTTTCACTAAAAAAAATATGTTGTTGTACTAGAACCGATGCTGTTGCGAAGGGCATCAATAATTACAAAGTTTTTGGATAGTGCGCTAGACTGTTGTGTGGGAGGTTGAGGGTTCGAGCTCTGGCCGGACCAACACTCAAGGTCTCAGAATAATTGAGAAGAATTTGCTACCTTTCTATAACATCAAGAAATGGTTGGATATTCTAGTCTTCTTGGATAGGGACAAATAAATGGAGGTCCCGTCTCCTGCAGGGTTGGGGGTAGGAGACATTAATTTCCCACACACGAGATTGCTGTGTGATGGATGTCCTCCCCTGGGGTGGGATGGGTGGGTTTACTGGGCCCACAGTAATTGGCGCA